CACACATACACATGCCCGGCGTGAGTTTAAGCCACCAGGTCCGGGACTCGGACCGTGGTCAACGTCAACTACATGGGGGAGTCCAGTGACATAGCCATTTCGTCAACTGCTGGTCCCATATACCCGATGTGTTCTAAGCCCCCGGGTCCGGGACTCGAACTGAGGTCAACCACATGGGAATCTAGCCTCTTAACCACCACGCTACCTGGCTGGCCCTTGGATGTTCCTATTTCAGAAAGCCCTTTCCTGTGTGTAAACGGGGTCCCTTTGTACATTCCCAGCGTAAACTGAGCATAATCCTGGCTTATTCATCATGAGCTTTGCAACTAGCCCTGATGTTGAACTTGAGCTCCGACACTTCCTACTCAGGCGATGAGGGAAGTTTATTGTCCCCAAACTTGTTTCTTGAGGGGGAAAATGAGACGTAACTTTGGTGATTGTCGTAAGAATCAGATACGTGGGGGACGACCCTGCCAGGCTCAATGCAGTGTCTCTCCCACGGATTCCTTCCTCTCGCCAGGCTCAGAGACAGCTGCGGCACTGAGTCCAGCGTTTGCACAGAAGCAGGCCAGAAGGTCGGCGTGCCTGGGTGTGCCCTCCGTTTGATGCTCATGATCTGGGGCCGCAGGGTGCTGGGCAGTGTAACCGGGCCATCGCAATACTTGACGTTACTAACCTTTCTGTCACTCTGCAACTGTCATGAGTGCATGGAGGACTCTGCAAAAGCTCCGAGATACGTGGTCACACTAAATGCTAAGGAGAGTCCAGCTGTCTATTACGTTAGATGCTACAGCACTCTGAAACGTGGGACAAGGCTACTCCGCTCACTAATGTTTGCAGGGGAACATATCAGGGGTCATCAAAAAGTTCTTGGAAAATGCATATTATGAAAATACTGCATGGATTCAAAATACTTTTGCACTAAAACTCATGCTTTTTTCCTAGTAATTATTTATTTTTAATTTCATTTATTATTATCATTTTTCAATTTGACTAGAGAGAGACCGAGAGAGAGCAGAAGTGAGAAAGCAAGCCGCCAGGTCCAGGACTTGAACCATGGTCAGTCATGTGGGAGTCCAGTGCCCCAACCTCCACACCACCTGCTAGCCCCCAAAACACATACTTTAATTCCATTTTTCCATGAAATTTTTTTAATTGGAAAATTAACACTGGTCCAAGACTTTTTAAATTTATTTTTATTTTTTTAAAGAGTTATTAACTTTATTTATTTATTTACTTATTTTAATTTGACTAGAAAGTGATAGAGTGAGAGAGAGAGAGAAGAAAAGTGAGAAAGCAAGCCTCCAGGGCCAGGATGCGAACCATGGTTGGCACCCTTAGCCACCATGCCAAGTGCCAGCCCCCAAGACTCTATTTTTTAAAGTTTTTTTCTGTCTAGAGTTTCTCTCATGTGCCATGAACATGAGAGAGAGAGAGACCGCACCCTCAGCATGGTTATGATGATCTGCCCTCAGCCTCAGCCAGACCCGGGTCACAGGCACACACGTACACGTACCCAGCTCATTCACGGTCTCTGGACACGAGCCCAGGACCCTCCCATGTGGACTGGTCTTACAGAGCATCCCATTCTACAGCTTGCCATCTGGCTCCCATGAACTTCAAGTCCTCTCGTATAGGAACTTCTCATCAGAAATGTTAACATGCAACGAACGCTGGGGCCAGCAGGTGGCATGGTTAAGGTGCTGGGTTCCCACATGATCAACCATGGTTTGAGACCCAGACCCAGCAGCTTGAAGCTCATGCTGGGAGCATGTGCGTGTGTGCCCAAAATCCCGAGAGAATAATGGAGGGGATTGCAGAGTGGCCATCCCCTCAGGGGAGTGATTTCTCACTTTGTTTCTCTGTCTCTCTCTATGTGCCCTATAACAAAAAGATCTCTGAAAAGAGGCAACAAATGTCTGAGGTCCTGAAAGCAGCGAGAGCACCACCTGTGTAGCCTACAGGCAAGCACCGAAGTGAGGCAGGAGCTCTTCAGGGGGCGCCGTCACTCCGTCTGTCTCAGGGCTCTGGTGGACGTGCGGTCTCCTCCTTTTGCTCTGAAGAAGCTAAGACTGTTAGCAGGCAGCAGCTCCAGTCCCACTAGGTTTTCCTGAACACCGATCTGGAGCCAGTTCCTCCAGACCGGTGACGGTTATTTCTGTCCCCTTCACGCAGAGCCTACTCACGTGGCATTCCGGGGGAGCAAAGTGAGATGCAGGAAACCAGAAGTCATCACTGAAGGCAAGAAGGCAGCGAAACCGAGCTGCGTAGGAAGAGCAGCAGGGAAGCCCGCTGACAGCAGGTACGGTGCGTGGGGAAGGGTGGATTGGGTCACGAGACCAGCAGAGGGTGTGATGGTTACGGTGCTGGACTCCCACATGGTCGACCGTGGTTCGTGTCCGAGATCCAGTGGCCTAAAACTCATGCCGGGCACACGTGTGTGTTTCTAAGACCCCGAGAGGCAAACAGAGGAGAAGGGATGGCGGCGTGGCCCTTCTCCCCAGGCGGTGATTTCTCGCTCTCTGTCTCTGGGAAGTGCACACGCCCTTTAGCAAAAATCTCTCTAAAAAAACAAAAAAGAATTAATCGTGTCATAAGCAGAGAGCCGAGACAGGGTCAGTGAGAAGAAAGCAGGAGTGTTTCCCTGAGGCCCTGCTGACACTTCCAACGGGGACTGATGAAGGTCAGTCCATGGGTGGTGAGATGCCGGGAAAGACTTCCACAGCAACTCTTTCGGTGGTCGATCTGTAAGTGGTAAACCTCCTACCGGAAGAGGACCCCATCTTATAGATCGCTGAATCTCTGTAGTTCCTGTGAACTTTTTACCTTTTTTAGAATTATTTAATTCCATTTGTTATTATTTTTTAATTTGACAGAGAGAAACAGAGAGAGAGAAACGGAAGGGGAGAGAGCAAGCCGCCAGGTCCAGGACTTGAACCACTGTCGGCCATGTGGAATCCAGCGCCTTTAACCACACCACCTGCCAGCCCCACTTTGAACGTTTTTAAAGGGAAACTTTAGGACAAGTAGTTTATCAGAGGATTTTTGTCTCGTCCCGGGGGCCAGTTTAAAGAACTGTTGTGGTTGTGACCTGGGCTGGTGCTCTGTGTGGGAAGCAGGTCGGTCCTGTCTCAGGAGGGTCTGACCGTCTTACACCGGTTCCTGAACCACGGCGCGGGTCAGTGCTGGCATCCTTCCTTTCGGCTGCTTCTTACTGCTGCCAGTCGCTTCCCTTCCCTGGGTCCGTCTGTCTTCCAGCTTTATGTACTGACTTTGAGAGTTTTTAGAAGATAAAGTCATGTAGATAGATAATTCACTTTCATGAGACTTTTTTTAGAACTGGGTGTTTATAAATGTGAACCCACATTGTTTCCCTGCCTCTTCCCCATTTTAATCCAACATCGACTCTTTCAAAACAAGCCCCGGGGGACCAGCAGTTAGCGTAATGGCTATGTCGCTGAACTCCCATGTAGTCAACCCCAGTTCAGGTGCCAGACCTGGTGGCTTAAACTCACGCCGAGCACGTGTGCATGTGTGCCCAAGATCCCAAGAGGAGAATGGAGGAGAAAGGATTGCAGCGTTGCCATCCCCCCTGTGTGTGTGTGTGGGTGATTTCTCACTTTCTGTCTCTGTCTCTCGTGCGCACACGCACCCTATAGCAAACCCTCCAAAAAAAAAAAAAAAAAAGCCTGGGCTGGCTCCGTGGCACAGCAAACGTATTGCTTGAGGGAGGCCAGATCCCACCCGATGACCATAGTTCAAGCCCAACCCAGTCAGCCTGGGATGTGTGGGCACATGTGCAGTGGCAGGACCCCACGGGCCACAGCACTGGAGGAAGGGGCTTCTCTTCTCTCCGTTTGTCATACATGCACACAGGAGAACACCATTCATCCAGGTGGCCTTATGTAGGCAATACCACTTGATTTCTTATTTTTATTATTTTAAATAATTATTTAACTCTATTTACTTCAATTTAAACAGAGGGAGAGAGTGAAAGAGAGAGAGAGAGGAAGCAAACTGCCAGGTCCAGGACTGGAGCCAGCCGACCATGTGAGGCCAGCGCCCTCAACCGCTACACCACCTGCCGGCCCCAAGTTAGTACAGTTTTATTTTGGTGCACAGACATTTGAGAATCCATGCATAGTTTTTCCATACTCGTCATACTAGGGAGGTACTTGTGTCTGACTTGTTCTTTTACACCTAGTCGTGAAAATAGATACTGTATTTTTATAACGACATGCACACATGCAGGTACACATGTGTACACACACGCAGAATTTGTGTACTTTATAACCAGTCGTGAAAATACTGTGTTTTTATAACTACACATATGCACGCACGTACACGTGTACACATACACACACAGAACTTGTGTACTTTAATGGGTGAGCCTATGTCTTATGGCCATGACAGAAAGGCTCAACCTGTCAACAGAACCGACAGCCCTCTCTCACGTAGATTTCTTTATCCTTTGATAGGATCCTCCTTAGTCCCTTGAAATCATCAGTGATCTGTTTTTAGGCATCGACTTTTCAGACTTGATTCTCACTTATTATATTTTTTGAGAGAGATATTTGCAGTAAGGTGTGTGCAATCGCCAGAGAGACAGAAAGGGAGAAATCACACACCTTCCCGCCTCCAGAAGATGGAGAAAGGATTGTGGTGTGGCCATCACCCCCCGCCCCCCCGGGGGGGGTGATTTCTTGCTGTCTGTCTCTCAAACATACACAAATGTACTATAGCAAAAATCTCTCCCCCACACACACATAAAAAAACTTCATGTGGGGTGCATGTGTATCCATGCTCAAGATCCCAAGAGGAAAAAGGAGAAGGGACTGCAGTGTGGCAGTCCCCACAAAGGGTGATTCCTTACTCTGTCTCTGGAAAAAAAAAGAGCACACTCATCGTAATACAAAAAACTCAAAAAAAAAAAAAAAAAAAAAATTATTAGTGATAGAATATTGCTGTCACACTGGTATTTATCTCTTTTGCAAGTTTTTAAAGCCTGTGTTTGGGCCAGCTCTGCAGCCTAGTGGTTATGGAGTCAGCTCTCACATGGCTGACTATAGTTTGAGTGCTGGCCCAGCTGGCTTGACCCACACACTGGGTGCATGTGCATGCATGTCCCACATCCAGACTAGATGAAGAAAAGCAAGGAGGAGTTGCACCTGACCACCCCCCCCACTGGGAGGTGTGCCGCTCTCCTTCTCCCTCAAGTGCACGTATCCTCAGGCATCAACAAAAACCCGTGCTTTTACTTTTACAGGAGTCAGGAGTTCTGGACCACTGGGTCTCAAAAAATAACCAAAGTATTACAAAATCTGATCACGTGCTGTATTCTTATGCATATTATTATATATATTTATGTATTTGCTGGGAAATGACTGGATTAAATCAGATTTTTGAGAATGTAAGTGTTTTGTCCCGACCCGAGGGACAGTCGAACAGGTTTCCCGAGGGAAGGAGTGAGAGATGGGACGAACGACGCAGTGTTACAACACGGAGATGACAGTGTTACAGCTCTTCAGGGTTGTCCGTTTATTGTGGGCAGCACGGAGATGACACAGTGTCACAGCTCTTCGGGGTTGTCTGGAGACGACGCAGTGGGACAGCTCTTCAGGGTCGTCTGGAGATGACATGGTGTTACAACTCTTCAGGGTCTTCAGGGTAGTCTGGCAATTATGGGCCAGGGATTGTGGTTATATACATGCTGGTGGGCAGTGATTTGTTGAATGAAGGATTGTAAAAGGGGGGTTATGATTGGTTGCTTTTGTGGACCAATCATGAGGTGCCGGATATGCAAATCTGAGGGATTCTAAGCTCACAGATTTGCTATGGGTAGTGGCCAATCAGAGCATGGTTTTGAAGGTGAGGTTTTTGAAGGGGAGCCAATCATGGCCTTTGGCATTGTGTAATTGCTTTCTGAGAAACTGAAACCTAAGGGCGATATTCGCTGGTGCACAGCTTCCCACAGTGTTTACTCTGTAAAGTATGAATATAGAGCTATATCAAAATAACAAAGGTTTTCTTTTCACTTTGTTTGCAGGGGAAAAAAGCAAGTGAAGAATGTTTGATCACGTGTATCTCAGCGGGTCTTCTTGAAATTTAACTAAAACTATGACTGCTCTTGCTTCAGAGAACTGCTCTTTTCGGTACCAGTTACATCAAAAAACCCAGCCCCTAGATGTTAACTGTCTGCTGTTCTTGATTGTACTTGGGAAAATATTCCTAAATATCCTCACACTAGGACTGAGAAGAAAAAACACCTACCACAGTTTTATGGAGTATTTTTGCATTTCTCTGGCCTTTGTCGACCTTTTACTCCTGGTGAACGTTTCCATCATATCCTACCTGCGGGATTTCGTACTTCTAGGCGTGAGGTTTACACAATACCACATCTGCCTGTTTACTCAAATTACTTCCTTTACTTACGGTTTTCTGCATTACCCAGTTTTCCTGGTAGCATGTATAGATTACTGCCTGAATTTTTCTACAATCACCAAGCTTTCATTTAAGGGTCGAAAGTTATTTTATTTCTTCGTAGTCCTCTTCCTGTGGGTTTCCGTTCTTGCTTATACTTTGGGAGACCCAAGTACCTTCCAAAGCCTGACGGCGCAGAGCCCTGGCTCTCATCAGTGCACGCTCCACGCCAGCACGCAGAGTTACTGGCTGTCGCTCTCCATGGTGGCCATTCTGGTGGTGGCTTTTGTAACCTGCTGGTCCGAAGTCGTCACCTTGGTACAGGCTATGAGGATAACTTCCTATATGAACGAGACTATCCTGTATTTCCCTTTCTCATCCCACTCCAGTTACACCGTAAGTTCTAGAAGAATACTCTTGTCCAAGCTCCTGGTCTGTTTCCTTGGCACCTGGCTGCCATTCGTACCGCTTCAAGTCGTGATTCTTTTACTTCAGGTACAGATTCCAGCATATATTGAGATGAACGTTCCCTGGCTGTATTTTGTCAACAGTTTTCTCCTTGCTACAGGTTACTGGTTTAACTGCCACAAGCTTCATTTAAGAGAAATGGCATTCCCTGTGGATCCGTTCGTCAACTGGAAATGCTGCTTTGTCCCACTTACACTCCATCACCTTGAGCAAACTGAAAAGCCTATATCGATAATAATTTGTTAATATGTTGCCATGTTAAAACTAATGAAAACTTACAACCATAATAGGAATAAATTTTATGACTGGGAAAGAATGGTGACTCAGGACCTATTCTAAACAGTGAACTGGGTTGGTCCTATGGCTCAAAGGTTAAGGGAGACAGATCCCGCCTGGCTAACGATGGTTCAAATCCTGGCTCTGGCCACTTGAAGAGCACTGGGCACATGTGAGTGTGTGCCCCTCATTCTGATGGGATGGAAAAAATGGAGGAAAAGGGATGTGATATGAGCAGGCCCCACTAGGGGGTGCTTTCTCTATCTGGAAAGTACAGGTGCCCTCTGGCAAAAGACAAGAAACTGAACTGAAGCTTTTTCTCCTTAACTCTCATGCATTCTCAGCATGTGTGTTTAGGGGTTATATTATTTATTAAATAGTGTTTTCTTTAAAAACAAAATAATTCTAAGCAGTTTTTGTACTTGTTCAGGAACACCGTAAGTTACAAATAGTGACATGTTATTGACACGAAGGTAAAATAAGCTAACTGATATTGGGCTCTACTGATGTTTGTCTTACCCCAAAACCTACTGGCTACAAATGGTCATGTAAATCTGTGATTTCACTGCCAACTTTAAAATGTGAACTTAAATAAACATATTTATGAAATTCACAGCCAGAAAATCAAAGTCATTTTCTCAAAATTATGTTGCATAAATTAATATAAGGGGAATATTGGCTTTTAGCTAATTAAAAAACATACTCCTCTAGAACCAGCAGGAGGCATGGAGGTTAAGGTGACTCGATCCAACGAGGCTAACTCTGCAGTTTGTGTCCCAGACCCAGTGGCTTGAAAATCACGTTGTGCACGCATGCATGCCCAAATCCTACGAGCAGACTGGAGGAAAAGTGATTGCGGTGTAGGCCCCTGGGGGTGATTTCTCACTTTCCCTCACTGTCTCTGGTGACTGCATGTTTCCTGTGTGTGTATGGATGTAGATACACACACACACACATGCACATATATATTCATATTGTTCCAAATGGAAATGCCAGTATTGCCGGAGGAGGAATTTCACTCGTTCCCGTTACAGAACTGGAATAGTGACCAGGTCCCTCTCCATGATGTAACATTTTCAGTTGACGCTGTATGTCACATACTTGCCTGTCAAATCCAACTGCACTGGCAACGTACCACACAGCTGGAGTGGAGGGCTTGTCCTTGTCCTCGTCCTCAGATGGGCCGTTGGGGTTGGAGGGCCCACTCTGGGCAGCTGCTTATGCAGCGCAGCTGCAGCAGCATCCCTGTCCTCTACCCACAAGATGCCAATAGTTCCTGCACACCAGTGACAAAGCTGTCCCCAGGCACGCCCAAGCCTCCCTTGAATGGACAAACCTGCTGGCAGTTAACATCACTGAGTGAAGTGGTATGAGTGGCAGCACCATCAGAAGTCGCCCTTAAGAACTAAGCCATGCAGCTGTTTCAGCGCCAGTTACAAATATTGATACATATTACACAAAACCAAATCTACCATTTCCTGAATTGGCAGCTTTTTATTTTTTTTACATTTTTTGGGGGGGGGAGAGATTTTTGCTATAGGGCATGTGCACTCACTGGAGAGACAGAAAGTGAGAAATCTGCCAGGAGGGATGGTCACACCACAATCCCTTCTCCATTCTCTTGGGATTTTGGTCACACATGCACATGCTCCCAGCATGAGTTTTAAACCACCAGGTCTGGGACTCAAACCATAATTGACTAGGCGGGAGTACAGTGACATAACTATTATGCCATCTCCTGGTCTCAATATTTTTTTTCACAGGACCCATATACTTATTAATTTATGTACATAAGTGTGTGTATCCTAGCAGTACATACCATTATAGGTTCTGCAGAGATCTATTTTCTAGTGTCATTTTTAAAAACGATGCTTGTGGGACCAGCAGGAGGCATGGTGGTTAAGGTGCTGGACACTCCCACATGGCAGACCACAGTGAGAGCCCTGGACCTGGTGGCTTGCTTTCTCACTTCCCCTCTCTCTCCTCTTTGTGTGTGTCTCTCCTCTCTGTCAAATTAAAAATAAATGAATGAATAAATAAAATTAAGTCATTTTTAAAAAATGCTTGTGACCCACCCTACCGAGTTCAAGATCCACAAATGAATAACTTTCCATTATTTGGAGAATGTCCTAGAACATTAAATTGGGTGATTATAATATTAAAAAATACTTCTGAAAAACAGGAATAAAAACTACATTGTTCTATATAAAAGCCAAACGTGGGCTCAACTTCAGTGGCACGAGGCAGGGCTCCTGTGTGTCTCTTTATCCTCTGTACTGCTCTTTAGTTCACCATTTGTCGGACTAGATCCAGCAGCCAACAGAAAAGGAAATAAGAAAATGCACAGCTAGAGGAGCCAGCTGGTGGTGTGGTGCTTAAGGTGGCTGGATCTGATGTGACTGACTGCCCTATCGGAGCCCAGACCCAGCAACCTGAAAAATAAGCCGGGCACACTGCATGTGTGCCCAAAATCCTGAGAGGAGAATGGAGGACAAGGGATTGCAACATAGCCCGTTCCCATAGGGGGTGCTTTCTCACTTTCCCTCTCTGCCTCTGGTGAGTGCATACACCCTATAGCAAATTTTTAAAAAGAAAAGAAAATAGCCAATTAGAAACCAACCACCAAAATGGCAGCTGCGAATCTGTATATATCAATAATGGTACTGACTGTAAATGGGTTAAACTCCCCAATCAAACGATACAGACTGGCTGAATGTATTAAACAACATACAAAAAAAGGAGCTTTCAATAGGCTGCTTGCAAGAAACACACCTCACTGATAAAGTCACACAAATGAGAAGCTGAGAAGTGTCATTCCGTGCAAGGGGAAAACAAAAAAGCAGGTATCGTCATCCTAAGAGCATACAAAATAGACATCAAGATAAAACATATCAGGGGACATAGAAAGTACCATAGTAAAGGGATCGACTCACCAGGTAGAAATAATACAACATCAGGACATCCAGATACATAAAACAGACTCCCAGATTTTAAGGGAGATGTGAACTAAGACGTTAACTGCTGAGGATCTCGACATCCTCTCGTTATTGCACAGATCATCTAAACAAAAATAAAGACAATGGAGTTTAATGACGCCTAAACCAAGTGGGCCTAACATTTATAGGACATTTCACCCAACAGCAGAATATATTTTTTCAGCAGCATATGAAGCATATTCTCAGGCTAACTACATAATAGGGCACAAAAGAAACTTCTACAAATTAAAAAAAAAAATAGAAATCATATCTAGTGTCTCTTTTGACCATAATGAAATTGAACTTGAAATTGACATGGGTTGGCTTCATAGCCTAGTGGTTAAGGGGGCTGGATCCACAGGGTTTAAAGCAGTTCAAAACAGTGGCTTGAGGAACATGCTGGGCATGCACGTGTGCCCAGAAACCTAATGGGACAGAGAGGGGGAGGAAAAGGAATGGCAGCATGACCATGCCCCACTGGCGAGTACCTTCTCCCTCTCTCTGGCAAGCACACACACCATCTGGCAATTAAAAAGGAAAATAAATCTTGAAAATATGCAAATACATGGAAACTAAACAACATGCTCCTGAAGGATTTTGAATCATTGAAGAAGAAAGACAATTTTTAATTTCTTGAAACAAATAGTAATGAAATAACTGCACTCTAGAACCTCTAAGATGCAATGAAGGCAGTATTAAGAGGAAAGTTTGGAGGCAGCCAGTGGAATGGAGGTTAAAGCAGCTGATCCCGCATGTCCGACTACATGGTTCGACTCCCAGATCCAGCAACTTAAAGCATGCTAGATGGATGCACGTGGATGCCCAAAATCCTGAGAGGAAAATGGAGAAGGGATTGTGGCATGACCATCCCTCAGAGGGATGATTTCTCACTCTCCCCTTCTCTGTCTGCCTGTGGTGAGTGCATGCATCCCAGAGAAAAAAAAAAGGAAAATTTATATCGATAAGTACTCTAAGTACTCATAAATACACACACACACACACACACACACACACACACACACACAGGGTTGTTGGAAAAGTCATGACACATGATGGTTTAGTCAAAACGTGTCATGACTTTTCCAACAACCCAAATAGAAGAATGCAAATAAACAACCTAAGAGTGCCTCTCAAGGAACTGGAAAAGAACAAGCTAAACCCAAAAATAATAGAAGAAAACAAATAATAAAAACAAGAGCAGAAATTAATGCAATAATGATCCCTTCTCCATTCTTCTCTCGGGATCTTGGGCACACACACACAAGTGCCTGGTGTGAGTTTAAGCCACTGGGTCCAGGACTAGAACTGCGGTCAACTACAAAGGAGTCCAGCGATGTAGCCATTACACCATCTGCTGGTCCCCTGCAACTGAAATATTTCAAAGAGTAAGTGAACTACTAAAGATTTATACTCGCAGGTTTTAAATCAGGAAAACATAATTATTTCAAACCTCTCATTAAGCTTTTTGCTGTTACTGTTTATTTGGAAAGGAGTCCCGTGTTTCATAGGCTTAAAGGAAAAAAGAAATTACTCAATAGACAAGCCAAATGGAAGAGGCTTTATTTGTAAAGAAATGAACTTACAACTGGTCTACAATATATTATTGTAATATAAACAATATAAATAAAATGATCCTGTAGGCCCACTAATCTTCCATCCAGACCCACATGAAGCAAGGTACAACAATAGTCTATGTGAAAATGTGCAGGTAACAAAGGTGCAATTACAAGCAAGTTTAAGCAGCAGAGTATAAGGTGCTTTACTTTAATAGTTAATGTTGTCATCAACAAACATCTGAATGTTCCATTTTACTTCACTGAATACAGACACAACAAATATGAAAATCTAAAATTCATACACATGCTAATTGTTAATATGAAAGTGCTTTCTCTTTTTTAAAAAAATACACCAAATGGACACTTTTTACATAGATTAGGTGTGCTCTTATAATGCAAAATTAACTTCATTTTCAGGTTATACATTTTAAACTGTAGCTATAGACACCAATCTAGGAACTCTAATGCTAAGAGTGCTAAGACTATTTCATTTCCTGTGGGGAGGGTTCTAATACAATACCCAGTAAAGACAACTATCTATCATCCGAACATTTGTTTCCAGTAGAGACAGAGAATGTGTTCTTCCCCTTGGTGACACTTTGTTCATCCTGGGTGGATTACCCTTTGAGGTTTTAATAGTATGAAAGTCCTATTTTAGAACAATGGGAGAAACGAAAGGGAGGGTGGCAATTTGGTCAACATGCCCTTTAAGTATCAGAAAAAAATGAAGTTTATCACACAATTTGCCTTTGTTAAGTTAACCATAAAAATTTTAGTAAGGAAGGAAACAAAAATACTAATTTAGTAAAGAGTCTTGAAACGCCTGCCATCACTCCCTGACAGTGCTGTGTACGACACCCAGCCCACAACCAGCCTTCACTGTGAGCACAACCCTTACTTGGAACTTGGACTCTTTTCCTCCATGGGAAAAACAAAGACCAAGGTTTTGAATGAGATGATTGGGAATCTAGTTAAACAACTTGGAAATTACACATCTGAAATTTACTATTTTTGTACATTCAGTTGCAAAACTGAAGAATACATATGTAAAAAGTATTTATTCAACAGATTATTTTAACAGCATAAACTATTTGGAAAATTAGTACACTTTAGAAAATTAAAACACTTCAAATGGAATTTTTAATCAGTTCTATGGAACAATTTTTTAAAAACTCAGACTATCTGGCTACTTAGATGCTAGTTTTTTGTTTTCAGTCAGTTTGAAAGATTCCAATAGTTTCCAATCCATCACTTACTTGGATATTTTCCTACTTAAAAAGCTGCAACTATGATATGTAAAATATTTTTAAGTACTATATGTTTTCATTCTGCACCTTATGTAGAATGTTAGTATCAACTGATGTTAATATTTAAAGCTGTGTCAAAAGGAATGACAGTGTAATTCACAAAATCCCAGAGTGACGAGGGACCTTTACCCAGTAAATAATCAAATCTCCCACTCAGTGTTTACTCACCGAAGACCTGTCAACTGAAATCAGAGCAGTCTCCTGTTTATCAGCTCTGCATCTTAAAGACAGCCTCTTACTACCTACTGCATGTGCTTTTACATTTCTGCGTCTTAGGCATCTTGAAAAGGTGGACATTTGTAAAAATCCTAAAACACAATAAAACTTTTGTATCATCTAACATTTAAAAAAATACAAACAAACCACCACTACCCCCCCTCCCAAAAAAAAAGTAAAAAACAAGCCTGTTCCAGTGACCTCTTGGAGACTTCTCAGTTTCAGAGGGCGGTTACACTACTGACATTGGGTAGAAGCTTTTGTAGTTAAAATGTATAGTGGTCCACCAGCTTTTGTCCTGCTATACCCTGTACAGACAGCAACAACTCTGGAACAGATAAAAGTGCCGAAATGCTGCTGTGAAATATGGGCTGTCACAATGTTCTTCAAAGATCATTCATTCCATTCATGTGTAGTAGGTGAAATGTTACAGGAACCTGGTGAGATTCACACAGACCCCTTTGCTGTTATTTAGCTGAATCCTTTACCCAATGCAGAAAAAAATTCCCTCTCAGTTCCAAGTTTTAGGGTCAGCACATTAAGTAGTAATTAGGTCCATGTTTATTTAAGCCATTATGTATTACATTTAGGAAGATTTTACTTACTACTGGTTGCTTAAGTCTCATATACCACATTCTGCATGTTTAAGTGTTCAAATGGTTTGCAAAATAAGCACACGAATGAGTGTTTACATGTGTCTATATGCTCAATAGTCAACCAGTAAGTAGCATTTCTAAAAAGTTTTCTCTTGCTGTCTCTGTGGATTTTCTAACTTAATCCTTAGGAGAAGGACTAAGTAACCCAGGAAATGGATACCTAATAGCTTTTAGCAGAAGCTCTTAAGTAAAAAATGAACTATGAAAAAGAGAAAGGGACCTAAGTAGGGATAAAAAAATAACCCACGACGTGGCTTTGAATCATAGTTTTAGAGTTAGGTGGCACCTTAAAGAGGATTTAAAAACAAAATAAACATTTGTGTGGTGTAGGAACCACACTGCGTATTCAGATGAGGTTAGAAACTGAGAACTGCCCAAGGGGTCACGGCGTTAATCGACCAATTGGGAATAGACCCAGTCTCCAGTCCAGTGTGTTCCTCTTCACTCATCATGGCCCCTGAGGGTGTCCACGTTTTACTTACTACTGAAGTAGGCTATTCTCTCATTATTCAATACTACCCAAAACAAAAGAAAAGCAACACTTTGAAGACAAACATTCTGAACAAAGATTTTAAACACTGGATACTCCTGGTTTACTTCAGGCAATGCTAAAAAATTCCTTCTTTCTAAATAGGGTGATGTTTGTTTCACTATAAGCCTCACCACTCTAAACACCAACTTTTCCACAGGTGTCACTTAAAACACCACAAAACATGGATTTAACACTGATAATATTACGTAAAGTGTAATTTGTACAGCCAACAAATGATGGCTCCCATCAATCCTTAAGATAGTAATTACTGGAGTCCATTTAAACAGTCTGAGAGGACTTACTATCTCACTCTCATATTTAAATTATGCCATGTTAGCATTAGCAATGTTTTAAAATTATATTGATTTTCCCCCAAATAAAATTCATTCATTACTATATTTCTTTTAAAGCAACAAATTTTGTTTTCTTTCTATGGGTTTATACTGAACACCACCAGTATCACTGAGATTAACAGTTGTACTTCTGAAAGATGATAGAAAAAAATAATTTTCTAAAGTACAAAGCTTTAGCCATAACCTCATTTTGTACCTCTTCTCTAAATGTCAGATTTAAGTTGTCATATTTTAATAAAATTAATTGTCCACAAGTAAAAACAAGGGGGGGGGAATGGTGGAAAACATTTTCCCCAAAGGTTCTACAAACGTGCCACTTGCAAGTGCTGTGCGCACGTTTGTGTCGAAAGGAGGGTGGTCTGCGTTCAAGAAGCTGATCTCAGGTCTAGAATGGGGACTGTGCTCTCTTCAAGCATGTTTACTACAGTGAAAGTTCAGGAAAGGCCCAACATTTTTCTCGGGAATATGATGGGCATCATTTTATTTGTTAAAATTTTTATTTGTATTAGTGCTTTCAACTTTCAAGAAAAGTTCTCTTATATAATAATTTTAAAATAGATTAAACTCTAAAAAAATAGGTAAAATTTAAAAACTATTAAAAATTGAGGAAACTCTTTCCAAAGAAAGTAATATAATTTTAAACAATTTTATTGAAGAAATGGCATGCATTACTGCTATAAAGAAAACTATATAATGATACATTTTATAAACTTTTAACAAAAGAGGATTCTCTTGCCAAAGAAATTTTTTTTAAGATGTACGGCTTAAGGTGTTAAAATTAGATTTTGGTAAGATTGCATATTTAGTTTTCTAATACTGTATTTGTGCTTATCAAAACTGAATCACAATCTTTTAAGATGAAATCAAATGCTCCAAATAGATTTACAAAATACCAATGTTGATGAAATGGATCAGACCATTCACTTCATGATACACACTGCTGTGCACCAAAGAAATAGAGGTAGGCTTGTGTTTAATGATATCCAGACTAATAAAGAGACCTGCAGTCACGGTCACCCAATTCTTAGACTGAGAAAACCTAACAAGTAAATACTTTCTTAAAATGCCCTTCGTAAAACATCTACAAGGTTAATCCAACTGTAGCATCTGAAAAGAGAAACATCTCTGTAATTCTGACAATTCATGTATAACAATAAACTGTCTAATTTTGACAAATATTCTCTGACTACAATAGCTGTCATCTTTTTCAGAAATCAAAAATCACTAACTTATGTCACATTGAAACTCGTAATACCCATGCTCGTATGGGCAGGATCGCTTGATGAAGAGAGTGAAAGAATGAATTTGAATACAAATAAATCTTGACATATTAAAACCCATAGTGCTTGTTTGATGTAACTGGGATCCAAAAATTATAATTTATTGTTTTGAGCTACTGATGACGGACATATCTATACTATTAAATAAATTCACTTAGTTAACGGTGCTATCCTCTTGGGTCTGGAATGCTGTCTTCCTCCACCTTGTCCACTTTCCCATCCTTCCTAGAAAACCTTCCCAGGGCTCAGCTAGTTACATATCTGGTGCCAAGAATCAGACTGAGCAGACACTGCACAGACGGGCAGTTTCCAATGCCTAAAGGCTCACTGAAGCGTAACTGTTCGGTGCTAGAAAGTCTCGCTCTAGTTACCTCCCTCCCTAAAATTAGCCCCAGTGCAACAGCCCCTCTAAAGATTCTCAAGCAAAGGTCTCTCTAAGAAGGAAGTTTTCTCGGGGCTGGAGGCAGCTTTGTGGGGAGGAAGTGAGGTGAGGCCCTGTCATGCTGTTAGCTCATGCTCAATGCCAGTAGGCAGAGGCAGCGTGCATGCTGTCATTCCCCAAGGATGAGAGTTTTCAAATCACAAAACATAACCAAGCTGTTCTGCGTGAAATGCGTCTTTAAAATATTCTGTGTCCAATCGGGAATTCCATCTCATTTCAGTCAGGAATTCCATAAGGCCGTGAGGTCAGCGTGAGCCACACTTCCACATCTACAACAGCTGATCCTCTCCAAACCTGCTCAGACACGTTGCATGAGCACACAGCCTGAAACTACACCTGCAATGCCTCCTTACCATACTTGTGCCCTGGCGACACCAATGTCTTATGAAAATAACGGGCTTTTCAACACGTATTTGAACAAGCCAGTAAGAAATCTAAGACTTGAATTTGTAAAGAGATGTCTGATTAAATTTTATGCTTCATATATAAAGATTAGCTATATCAAAAATTATTCAAAAGTGTGGTCACAATAATACTTCTTTCATATAGTTCTAAAGTATTCTAGTCTTTATTTTATAGGCCAAGAAACAAAAATAAATACTAAGATACCTAAGGAAAAAAAAAAGAAAGAAAAGAAAAGAATTTCTATTTTGAACTAGGTAAAATACAAATATTCACTTTAAAAGTGCTTAAGTGTGTTCAGTGGTGAAGTGGGCTAACCTAACAAAGATGGCTGGGCTCTGTCTGTTTCTTCCCTGTCCTAAGGCTTTAGAAGATTTTACAACAAATTTAAAGTATCATGCAAAGTGATAGCTTAGGAGACAGTGCTTTGTCACCTACTGTGTTGAACATAACAAAACAGCATTGCTGTGTCTTACAAATGCCTACACGAGAATCGATGAGCATTACTGTCTTAAAAAAATTAATTTACAAAGCAGTTCTTGGTTTACTTAGGAACACAAGGCTTAAAGCAAATAAAATTTCAAACTTAGGGTTTTCCCCAGAGAAAAAAAGAGTATTACAGCTTAAAGTCAGGAAATGCAAAACTTAGGTAGCTAAAATCAGAACCTCTCTTTTCCCCCTGCTTGTCAATCTCTCTCCCCAATCAAAATCCTAAAACAATTAGCAATACACAAAGAAATGAACAATAGTCACACTCTCCCACCTGTATCACACTGAAACTGTGCCTACAGGAAAAAGATGGACATGCAGAGTTACTTCTGTACCTACTGTCCCTAACTGTATGAGAAGCTCTGACATTAAGATGATTGTGATCTCATCTCAGAGAAACTAAGAGCTGCACCAACGGGAGAACGAGCGGTTGCCAACATATGAGCCGTTTCTAATCAAAAGAATGCACTGGAAAAAAAACGAGTGTATTTTCTGAGTATGTTCTGAGTGGGGACAACAGAAAATCCAGATTCGTTTTAAGACTATAAGATGTAAGAGTATAAGGTGTTCTCCAGTATAAATCCCCGTGTTAGCTCCCCCTAGATACCTAGATGTGTGAGGCACAGGAGCTTTCAGTAAGCATCGCCTGATACTAGGAGAGGAAGTAACTACTACAAAGGAGTGCCTACAAAACACCTGAAAAGTTAACACCTTGAAGATGACAGCTACTACAGTATGGAGGGTACTCATTATTGCTAGGGGAGTCCTTGAAACTGTAATCCAGTAATCAAAAATGTGATATACAGAAATATGCGACATAGACTACAAGCTACTGTGGGTCTGGAACATGAGCCTTGCCTGGACACACTCTAACCCTACACACAAGGACCAGTAAACATCTTTTTTTAAACATTACTACACAAAGAACCCCACAAAGCATACATTCAAACAAGAGGCATCTAAAGATTTAAAAAATTACCCGCTGTATTTCTGTATAAAAATAATCAACATTCTCTAATGTACACAAAGCCAAAAGATAAATATCTGTGATGTCCTCAGTGACATCTTCAGTCTTCTCCTAGCTTAACACAGTCTTGCTCAAAAGAGCAGTGAAAATGCCTGAAACCCATGGACTTTTTCCTCCCAAATACTGAACTTCTGCCAAGTTTGGTGGATATTTCTTTAATTACTAAAATATCTCAATTATGTAGTAAAGATATAAGAAAAGATTGTAACAAAACCTTCATAATCTTCTCAAATAAAAGTGTTGACGTCCAGGACTGTAAAGCTGTCAGGGTTCCCACAAACAATTTTGCTTTAGTGTCATAATTCCGTAGAACACTTTCACTTTAGTGAAAAGCTTTGCTTTGAAAAAATTTTCCCCTACAACACGTACAAACAAAATCTTATCTGATCATCCAGGAAAAATAACCTAGTAAGTACTTTGCAGAAAGCACGCAAGCGCTTAATAAAGGGAAGAGGAATGTACATTCTAGCCAGACCCAACATGTTCAACATTAGAAAAAGCCCAAAGAGCGATTCACTATGATCTCTCTGCCAGAGAAGGCTATGCACTGACTCAGAAGGGTGGCAGCATCACGCTTTCATCAGTGCCGAGGAGTACAGAGATATGAAAGGTAATTAGTATGAGTCAGTACTTTCTGAAAACCCAATTATTTGTATTCTAGTCTTTATTTTATAGGCCAATCTTATGGATCCTCCCCCCTTTTCTAGTATGCATAAAACTGGAAAAGTATTTCAGCCAAACATTAATGCTATGTGAATAACGCTTTCATTGTGAATGGGTTTGTTATCATGCCCCATCTTTTTCAAATATCCCTTTCGATGAAAAAGCAACATTTATCATTCCTCCTCTTCCATCAGGATTTCTTGACCTTGGCATGACTGACAGTTTGGACCAGGTAATTCTTTGTGGGGAGGCTGTCCTGTGCACTGTATGTTATGTAGCAACAATCTCTGGTCTCCACACACTAGATACAGTAGCAATCCTTGGCCAAACCCAGCCTCAAGCTGTGATGATGAACTGTCCCTAGACATTGCCAATGCCATCTGCAGAGCTCCACCAAAACCACTGCCCAAAATGTATAAAAACTTAAGAGGAAAACTTTCTCAGTCAAACCAAAATCTTGGTCAAGTTTGGAACAGAAACCACCTCTCTGACTTCCAGATCAGTATTTTCATGCTAGAATGCAATCCTTTTTTTATAGACAGAGTATCTGTCTAAAGACACATTTTTAAAAATGCACATTGAGATTTCATTGCATACAATCCCATCACTGGACTCCTAAATTATCTCATAACATCTTTCTCATGTCAACATTTAGAAAACTAACAGGGTAGAAAAATGTATAAGAAAATCGAATCAAAAGAGGAGAAATGTAAATCATTAAATTACTTTTAAAAGGATTTATATTAATGATAAACATCACCTTTAAAAAATTATCTAGTATAACACGTTTCTTTGAAAAATATCATGGCCCTCTATAACAAGTCTTTCAATGTTGCATGTATCTTGTAAAATTAATGTCACCAATGTTGGCAAATTATGAAAATGTGTGATGAATTATTACATTTCTAGAAGAAATGTCTGGATTTGATGAGGAGATTCCAATGTGCTTGGCTACCCACCACAAAAAGTATAATATTCTAGGTCAACTCAGGCTTTTACCCTACACGTCTGTTTGAGAGGAGTAAAACTGCTGTTTCATCAAAGCCTCAGGTTTCTTCTAAGATTCCTTGAGAGAGTTGATGCGTGCACAGATCTTTAGAGCCGGGCCTAGCTTGATGTTCATTGCACTCATGAGATGGTCTTCTTTCAGCAGAAGAAGGGCCTGTCCATCTATCTCCTGTGCTCTGAACTCATCTGCAATTTCCTGGCAGCCTGGAATTTGATAAGAGGAAGTAAGTTACAATTAAATATACAACAATTACTCCGAATAGTCAACAGTTATGCTCTCGCTGGGTCTGCAAACCTGCAATACAGGCTGAGAAACAAATGAAATTTATTCACAGTATTTGGTTCACTGTGGAAGAAGAAAGTATTTGTTGGGATTCTGAAAATAATAATTAATTCAAAAATCCAGGTAAAGCAATTTACTCAGAATTCTTTTAATATAGAAATAATAAGTAAGACTCAGGTTAAAATGTACAAAGTCATCAATTTAGATATAATATTTCCTTCATGAAAAGAACTACTGTGTCACCTCAAAGCATGCCACACACATAACAGGTTTGAATTAGTTATACATCTCCTAAGCTTATTTGTGTAATATATCCTTCACGTATAGGTACAGAAGAATGAAATACAACTCTGCCACTTAAATTACAGTCTAGAAATAGCTCTCGTTTCAGAGCGTCACTTGCATTACCCTTTGTGCTCTACCCCACTTAACCGTCCTCGACTGCCAAGCCCATCTAAAATATTTATATTGTTCCTCATGACAGAATAAATCCCTCAAGAATGTAGTATCAATCTGATACAATGAGCCGAAGTATATTAAGATGTTCAGCTTGCAATTGCAATTTCAACTTTTTTTTTTTTAAGAGAGAGATTTTTAATATAGGGTGCATGCCCTTGCCAGAGAGACAAAGAGACAGAAAGCAGGAAGTCACCCTGGCCACGCTGCAATCTATTCTCTTCCATTCTCCTCTAGGGATTTTGAGCACTCATGCACACGCACTGGCATGAGTTCTAAGCCACCAGGTCCAGGACTCAAACCGTGGTTGACTAGGGGGCGCCCAGCAACGTAACCATACACCATCTGCTGGCCCCTCAGTTTCAACTTTTAAGCTCACTAGACTCATCGCCACTGCTGATAAAACAAATTCTCACTGAAATGATGAGTTTGCTGCCAAATAACCACCTGAGCCTGAAACACTTTCACTGTTCACAACATTTTACACGCCCAGGTTACTCAAATTTCCCCCTTAAGGGTAAATAAATCAGTAGAGGAGATAATCAATTAAGAAACCAAGAGAAGAAAAAATGTAGAAAATATGAGAAATTCCTTATAATAGTAAAGTTATAAAAGTGAATTTAAGAATAAAAACTAATTATTTTAAGTCTTTTTGTTTAATTCACATCAGAATTCTAATGGAAAACACAAATAGAAATGTAAAGAAAACTGGAAATGGTTACATTTTATCTTCTGACACCACAATTGCTCTAAAATGATTATACTTTTCACTGTAAATGTATCATTCTCTTATTTATTTAAAATAATAATGTCTTCCTTATCATTCTAGCACTAAGTACAAAGCATCAAGTAAGTGCAGAGTACAACTGACCCTTGAACAACACAAGTTTGAACTAGGAAGGTCCATTTAGTGCAGACTTTTCTCAATACTACTGTATTTTCTCTTCAAGAGTTTAACAACATTTTCTTTCCTCACCTACTTCACTGTAAGAATAAAGTATATAATGCATGTAACAAACACAATATGCATTAATTGACTGCTCATGTTATGTGAGCCTTCCAGTCAGACAGTGGGCTATTAGTGGTTAAGTTCAGGGGGTCTGAAGTCATACACCGATCTTCAACAGCATGGGCAACTGGCCATATACTTAGGAATAAGTGAAGGACTGAATGACTGACTAAACAAAAATGCAATCCACTACAGAAGAGAAAGAATGTCTGCATCTGTACGAGTAATACGGACATCTTCTCCTGTGTTCAGCTGTGCTTCTCCTGGTCATTTTCCCCCCAGGTCCTCTGTACCTTTATCTAATATAGCGATCAGCTTTTTAATTTCTCTATTTTAATAATTCCTCAGACTTCTGAAAACTGACATTTCCATACCCTCTACAAAACTTTTACCGTTATGCCTATTTACTGTATTAAAAAAAAAAAAAAAAAAAAAAAAAAAAAAAAAAAAAAAAAAAAAAAAAAAAAAAAAAAAAAAAAAAAAAAAAAAAAAAAAAATAAAACCTATATAGTTGAAATGGAATTACTCACCATAGAAAAGCCCTTTTTCTTTTCCCAGAGGTAGCTCTCAACAACACTGGGCAGATAAAACTGACTAATCTTGCATCTAGGTGTGACTTCATCCTTCTTTTAATGAAAGAACTAATGTTCTTCTCTCTTCAGTCTTACTTATAAGAACACAGGAAAGAAAAGGAGAGAAAGATAGGGTAGGACTTATTCAGACTCAGAAAACAGGAGCAATGGGAAGTGATGAGGATCATAGAGCTGCATTTGGGAACAGAAACAAGGAGCTCTCTGTGAGGAAAACACGTAACACGTTCTTGTTCCCCTGAACTGTAAGTTTCCTCTTCAAATGTTTTTATGGAGGTCAATAGTAAATGAATTAGCAAAATAATAAAGAATAAAAAGTATTTTAGGAAACAGCATGATCAAATAGGAATGTATTATTTTCAGAAGTTTAGGTCATAGCTTTAAGCCAACCACAAGAGTATAGTTACATTAGTACAGAAATGAGAAAACTAAGTGATTTAAGAAAGAAAGAAAAAAAAAAAGGAAATCAGAAGTAAGTTTGTTTCCGGAAATTAAAAAAAAAAAACTTTTTATTTTCTTTTTAATTTTAAGGGGTCAGCCACGCGGCATGTTGGAAATACACTGTTCCAGGATGCTGAAGCCATGTGGAAGCGCAGGTCAGTTCCTGGACTGACCCATACACACCAGGCATGCAGGTACGCCCATGATCTTGGCTTGCTGAGAAGACCGGGAGGAGGACTGCAGCAGGAGACCCTGCTGAGTGTCCCCCTTACTGGATAAATAAGCTTTATAATAAATGTCTAAGTATGGGAACCAGCAGTTAGCGTAATGGCTATGTCGCTGGACTCCCACGTGGTCAGCCACGGTTCGCATCCTGGACCCAGTGGCTTAAAACTCACACCGGGTGTGTGTGCGTGCATGCCCAAGATCCCGAGAGGAGAATGGAGGAGAAGGGATTGCAGAGTGACCATCCCCCCTAGGGGGTGATTTCTCGCTTTCTATATCTATGTCTCTGTCTGGCGAGCACACGCGCCTTATAGCGTAAATCTCTCCAAAAATAAATAAATAAATAAATAAATGTTTAAGTAGTCGAGGTATACTGTGAGTGTCTGACATTAACGACATCTACTTTCATATGAACTGGCTGGAGCCCAGGATGTACATAAAATACGCATCAACCGAAGCAACCAGCCAGCTCACGGGATCTGCCTCACCAGAAGTGCATGCAGCTCCCCACACAGCACGGCTCTCTGCACATAAACTCTGTGTCTAAAGTTACCTCTCCAGCTAAACGCGAAACAAAAACACCCTGCACAAAAACTGACTTCAGTCAAGTTGGTGAAATGATAGGACTGTTACTCAACACTACTGAAAAAACAAAGTCCCAGGATCAGTACTACAAACACCAGTAAAAAGTCATATATTCTTAAATGCTTCCTATTCTGAAGAAATCAAATCTACTGTGAATTCACTGATCGACAAATACAGAACTGATCTTTAAAAAGGCACTTCACAGGACCAGCAGATGGCATAGTGGCTATGTTGCTGGACTCCCACATGGTTGACCGCGGTTCAAGTCCTGGACCCCCAAGACCTGAAAATCACACTGGGCTTGTGTGCGTACAAGCCCAAGATCCTAAGAGATGAATGAAGAAGGGACTGTGACATGGCCATCCCCTTTGGAGGGTGATTTCTCACTTTCCCTCTCATTGTCTCTTTCCTTTCTTCAGCCAGTGCACATGCCCTAAGGTAACAACTTAATAAATAAATAAATAGTTAGATAAATAAATAAATAAATAAATGGTAGCTCACCATATCAAGGAAGAGTTTAAAAAGATAAACTGCAGTTAATTAAAAATAAGAAGAATCATTCCTATAGAGAAATTTCAATGCACAGAAAATTAGAAATAGCAATTTTCATTCTGATAACAGCTCTGAGATTCAATGTACTACACAGTCTCTAACAAAGGCCCAACATCATGTTTAAAAAGATGATACGTGAGAGGTAAACACAGGCATAAATATAAAATATCCTGATTAAAGATGAAAGGAAGCATCTCCTCAACTGGGAAGAAAATACCGAAGAGATCACATCATTAATGTGAAAAGTTTAAGAGCACCCTACTTCGCGGGGTGGAAAACCAGGCCTGAATGAATTATAAGAGATTCAAAATGAAGTTTACAAAGGTCAGAGGAGCAAAGAGAAATGAAGACAAGGCATTTTCTGGCATGAGATTTTCCTTAAGCTACAGGACTGACCATAGAAAAACTTTGAAAAATGTGATTTAACTAATCATACAAATAAACTTATTATTTGGCCTCTCAAAGAAGTTTTGAAATACTCCTATTTCATCAATAAAGAAAAACAGAGTTATGTTAAGCAGACTCTAAAATAGTACAAAGTTATTCTAAATTGTAAAGCAGTCTTTTAATTTGTAATCTTCTCTAAACAACTGGCAACAAAGTTGTCTAGATGAACTCAGCAAGACAAGGGCATCAAGCTAAAAACAATAAGCTATGTTTTGTTTAATTTAACTCAAATAAAGAGAATGAGTCAAGAATTAGTTTGGTTCTAAGAAAGTAGCCAAGGGTGGCCACGTGGCAGGCACATGGATGCTGGGGAACATTACCCTTTCCCAGGGGAAAAAAAAAAAAAGAATAGAAATAGAAGTGATAGAAGAATTAGCAGTATCTATTATTTGTTAATTATCTGGGCAACTACTTTTCTTAGGATATGAACCAACCTATCCCTGGTAGATAGTTTCAATGAGTTACACTCTTCTGGAAAGCTTGTAACAAAAGAAATGGTATGATTCACAATAAAACCAAAAGGGAACAGTATTTTAAAATCTCATTTTCCATACTGATAAGGTCAAAGTGAGTAAGATTTGCTGACTTAAAAATATGTATAGTTTTAATACATATAACCAGTGGCACCTGAAAATAAACAAAGGTGTAGCTGCCTTTACTAGCCAGCCCCTTGGAGAAAGTGGAAATAAAAGACTTGCTGCATTAAAGAAGAGACTTAAGCTGATGGAAAGAGTATCAAAATGAGAGGTAAAGCAGGAAAGCATAAGTAGAAAAGTCACCCGCAATACTGGAATGAGTATTGTCACTGAAGTTGAGCTATATGCTTGAAAAATGAGATTTCAGAAATGTTCTTGATGTTTATTTATAGAAAAGAATCAAAGAATGCGCCTTCCTTTCAAAGAACCGGCTTGATTTTTTAAAAGGAAATCAAAATGTTACCAAATTCTAAAAAGGTCTGATTAGCTTTTGGAAAAAAAAAAAAAGTAGTCTCCTATTTCATTTTTAAAAAGGCTAAATTAGGAAATAAAGAGAAAATCGAATAGAAAAAATAGAAGAACAGAAGAAGTGTCTGATTCAATCTCTCTACTGACCTCTCAAGAGAAATCAGACTGAAGAGAAGAGAGCACCTTTAATATCTTCACCAGCTGAGGTGTCACAGCGGAAGCAGGACTAGTCAGTTTTTATCGACTTGGGAGTATGAGAAAAGACCCAGTTGTGCTGAAGGAATAAGCGAGAGGAAACAGATCACATTTCAGTAGCGAATGCCACCGCATTTATGCATACACAGTACTTCTCTAGTCCTCTGTGCAAAAGATGAGGATGGATCTAACATCATCCGTGTGTGAATTCACAAGAAAACACAGAGGCCAGAGTGGTGAATTACGTACCAGGCAAAGAATGGATGAAGGCCCAGACGTCATCGACTGTCCATATAGATGGCTCTGTTTGTGCAACCGGTAGCAAGTCACTATTCTCAGGCATCTTCCTGATTCTCACATCCCGAAGCTCACGTTCTCTCTCCCGCTCACTCTGTCTGCGCAAACGAGTTGTCATGGTGGATGGCACAGAATCTTCATGAGAAGCCAAGTCTTCTTCTGCAGATGGATAAGTAATTGGAAGCTGGAAAATGTAGTACAAGTAAAATACAGCATTGCACTTTCCTTGCATTTCTGAAAAGGGCATTATACATCGAAGCGAGGTTTCTACAGACCTGCCGAAGGATGTGTTCTCTTGCTGCCCCATCAGGACCACTTGGACGGCGGCCACGATGCCCAAGACTCTGACTATCAGGCTTACGGTTCCAACGGCTAAGTGCAAATTTCTTAGAACAGCTAACATTGTACCTAAGAAATTCAAGTTAAGAAAAGATATTAAATGATACATGGGAGACTCTACTTAGTATTTAGTTATGACTCAGAGCAATTATGAATCAGTAAGTACCATATAACAATAATATAACCTCATAAAGCAAAACACAGTTCAATGGATTTACTTATGCTGAAAATCAAATAATGGCCTCTGTGTGTAACATAGTATTTCTTAATATAATACTGGGTACCTATAACAACGTATTGACGTTTTCTACAAAATACAGACAGATGATCAATTTTCACATTTTGTATGCTATGACGATGCTTAGGGAATGAATGTAAATTAATTCAAAAACAGTTTTAGGGGAAAAAAGCTCATGGAAATACATGTAATGGGAAAACTATGTATGAATTTCGAAAAGTTTTTGTACCAAAATAAATTCATACTTTAATTGTAAAAAAAAAGAGGTTAATACAACAATGGGAGGAGCTTAAGGTGCTTTAGTAAGATATTTCAAATGTTACTGAAATCAAAGAGTATAAAAAAGGTAAGATTTCAAAGTTAAACAAGAAATCCATTGCTCCCACTATTCAAAAGTTCAAAATTCTTTAAAATTAGCTGAAAGATGTTTTTATTTTATCAAAATAGACTATGTAGGGCCAGCACCATAGCACAGCAGTTAAGTGTTACGCATAGAAAGCCAGATTCCCACGGGGCTGACCACAGTTCAAATCCTGGCCACGGTGGCTCCAGAGAAACACTGGATGCATGTGTATACATGCCCCAGACGGTGAAAAGGTGGAGAAGTGGAGAAAAAGGGCCTGTGGCCTGACCATATCCTGCTGGGTGGTTTCTCTCTCTCTGGTGAGCATGCACACCCTCTGGCAATTAAACAAATTGCCTAACATTTTTGAACAAAGATCTTTGTAAGGGATGATGACAGGCCAAGAGGGCCTAAATCGTTTGATGGGTTCCATAGCCCCAGAATGTCTTCCGTGAAGGACCAGATAGTAGTTTAGGTTTTGTGAGCCATGCAAGTCACGGTCATAACTACTCAACTCTGCCTCTATAGTGTGAAAGCAGCCATAGAAAACACTGGAGGAGCATGGGTGTGCTCCAGTAAACCCATGGTCACCACTGAAATAGGAATTTCACGTAATTTTCATGTGTCATAAAATGTTATTCTTTTGATTCTCCCTCAAATACCTAAATTAAAAAACAAAACAAAACAAAAAAACCCTCAGGAGTCAAACAGAAAATAAGCAGGAGGTGAAATGCTCCAAACTACAAAACTTTTTGAGAACCGACATGATCCTCCAAGTAAAAAACTTCAACATCTAGGTCTAACTATTAATAAACTATAAGAAGGGTTTTGGTTTTGTTACATCGGTTGCTAACTTATCCTTTGGAAAACTCAAGAGCACAGAAATACCTTTTGGCACATGACATAGTGCAGAATCGTTTTGACCGCAGAAATTCATTAGCATAACCCATTTTTCCACAGAATTCACACTTGAGCAGCTCACTGTCCATTTCTTCTAATGTCTCTAAAAAAGAAGGAAACAAAGGGGAAGAAGTACTAAAAGATGTACTGAGAAGTACCATTTGATACCGGTGAGACAGTCACGTGCCTTACCCTGACTAATGAAAGTACAGACTAACAGGCAGCCATTTTAAGGAAATCCTCAGGACTTTGCTCTTCATAAGCAAAAACCATCAATTCAGTAGTAATAAGAAAGAAATAGTCTCAAAACAAGTAAGAACTGCCCCATTCAGTGACCTAGTTTTAAAGCCTTAGACTTACTGTCTGTAACTCATTGAAAATGTATCGTCTATTGTCCCCTCATTATCTTTCTTTTGGAGATGCCCTAGTTCCAAACTACACCACAAGCTTCTCGAGGAGGGGGGTTGTCTTGTACTTCTTTCCACACATGTGCACCTCCCAGGCCAGTACGGTCCACACAGGCCACGCGTCCCTCACCTGTGGACCCTGAGTATCACGAATGCTGTGCTGAGGCGTCCTCAGCAGGGCTCCTGTTCTTCCTCCATGTGCACGCCAGGGGAACACTTCGTAAACTGTTTTTTGCCTAGAACTTTCACTTATATACTTACTGTAGAATAAGGAAAGAAAAAATAATGCCTGCACATTCGTCTCTACCACTTTTCAGCTCAAATGAGAAATTTCTCAGTACAGTGTGCATAACGAGAGGGTCCTTTAAAAGTTAACAAAAATTCATCATAAAAAAACCGTGTGTGGATTTTGATTTATTTTTGTACACACCAAAAAACCCCACTTGTACTTTACTTTCATTTTGCATTAACTTTTTAAAAAAGAATTATTTATTTATTTAATTCCATTTGTTATTATTATTTTTTAATTTGACCAGGCAAGGACAGAGAGAGAGAGAAAGGGAAAGCGAGAAAGCAAACTGCCAGGTTCGGGATTCGAACCATGGTCAGCCATGTGGGAATACACTATCTTTAACCATCATGCCATTTGCTGCCCCCCATTTTGCATTAACTTTTTATAATACATACTTTAAAATTTCTTTAATTTGTTATCATCATTATTTTATTTGCTGTAAGATATATGTGCTCATCAGCGAGAAATAGAGGATGAGAGGGAAAGTGAGAAAGCAAGGTGCCAGGTCTGGAACTTGAGCCACAATCAGCTATGTGGGAGTCCAGCACCACATCACCTGCTGCCTCCCCCATTAACTTTTTTTTAGGTTTCTGCCATAGGATGCGTGCACTCACTGGATAGAGAGAGAGATAGTGCAAGGGAAACTGAGAAATCACCCCCCAGGGGGATGGGCACACCAGTCCCTTCTCCTCCATTCTCCTGGGATTTGAAGCATGCAGGCACGTGTACCCAGCATGATTTTCAAGCCACCAGGTCCAGGATTCAAGTTGTGGTCGGCCATATGGGAGTCCAGCATCTTAACCGTCATGCCATCTGCTGGCCCCTCCAATAATTTAAGTCGAGTAAAATCAAGTATTTGGGAATTAAATAAAATTAAAATTCATAACAAAAAAGACAAAATGTAAGATCTTGTTTGGATCCTAATTTGAACCAAATTACTACAAAAGGATATTTTTAAATAATCAGGGAAATATGAATAAGGACCAGCTATTAGAAAACACCAAAGAATTAAATAAAATAATTATTTAAAAATTACTAATATTATTATGTATGATAACATTACAGTTATATAAGACAACATCATTTTTAAGAGATGTGCACTGGGGGCCAGCAGGTGGCATGACGGTAAGGTGCTGGACTCCCATACAGCCGACTACAGTTTGAGTCCTGGTCCAGGTGGCTTGACAATCACACTGGGTACATACGTAGGTGTGCCCAAAATCCCAAGAGGAGAAGGGAGCAGAAGAGAGTAAGGCATGGTCATTCCCCCATTTCTCATTTCCCCTCCCTCTATCTCTCTCCAGTGATTGCTTACATCCTATGGTTAAATAAATAAATATGTCCTGTAGAATATAGCTGGTTGTTTTTTATTTAAATAAAAAATTCAGAATCTCATCCCTCCTCCCAGGAAAACTATAAGAATTTGGTGATTTTAAGCCCCAAACTCAAGGTCTCAAAGCAATAATTTTTGTGTTTGTCTTCCTTCAGTCATTTAGTATGCCCCTACCACCTTGACATATATAGAATATTCATTATTAGAATAAAGCATTAAAGAGGATTCCTTGATATTAAGGAGAGTGATAATAGTGATAATTTTCTTTTCTTTTTTTTTTTGGAGAGGTTTTTGCTCTAGGGCATGTATGCTTGCCAGAAGGACAGAGAGAGAAAAAGAGACAGAAAGCAAGAAATACCCCCCCAAAGGGGATGGCCACGTCGCAATCCCTTCTCCTCCATTTCCTTCTTGGGATCTTGGGCATGCATGCACAAGCGCCTGGCCTGAGTTTAAGCAACCGGGACCGGGGCTCAAACTGCGGTCAACTACATAGGAGTCCAGCGACATAGCCATTACATCAACTGCTGGTCCTCCCCCCCCCTTTTTTTTAATAAAGATTTTTGCTATAGGGCGTGTACACTTACAGAAAGACAGAGAGAGACTGGGAGACAGAAACTGAGAAATCACCCCCGGGGGGATGGCCACACTATAACCCCTTCTCCTCCATTCTTCCCCTTGGGATTTTGGGCATGTGCACACACACCCGGCATGAGTTTTAAGCCACCAGGTCCAGGACTTGAACCATGTTCACCTATGTGGGAGTCCAGCGATATAACCATTACACCATCTGCTGATCCCAAGTGAAAAATCACCCCCCTGGGGAATGGCCATGTCACAATCCCTTCTCCATTCTCCTCCGAGGATTTGTGTGGTGAATTTCGAGCCACCAGGTCTGGGAGTCAAACTGCAGTCAGCCAAGTGGGAATCCAGCAATGTAACCACTGGGCCATCTGCTCACCTCTTTTTTATCAAATGTTGTCTGGGACCAGCACGTGGCATGGTGGTTAAGGTGATGGACTCCCACATGGCCAACCACGATTTGAGTCCTAGAATTGGTGGCTTGCTTTCTCACTTTCCTTCTCCCTCTCTCTGTCTGGCTCTGGAGAGTGCACATGTCCTATAGCAAAATTAATAATAATAATGATAAATATTAAAATAATTCTTTATAAAAAGTATTAACACTTCTTGATTAAAGAACAGACCCCTAATATAAGTGTAATACTCAACTGGTATCAAACTTCAGACTGTGGAACGTTCAAAACTAAATAACCTAAGAGCTCTAAATTTTTCAGCAACCTCAGTAAAACAGTCATTACTTAAGTCTGCTTTAAAATAAAGGAGTTAGTTGGCTGTTTTGACGCTAAAATTCTGAATTACCTTCCCTCATACATGATGGACCTTTTCTCACACACTCCTTCAAAAGTCAAAGTCCCTTTGTACAAATTAGCGCCAATGTTGCTGTTTTAGTTACTTTGCTGTTGAAGGTCTGCTAGTTTCCCTATCACTCCAGTCAAATACCACTGTATGAGAATGACTAGAAATACTTCCGAGTGAAAACTTATGCAGAATAAGAATCTATGCTGTGTCTCAAGCAGTAAAAGGTATCTTAAGCGAAACCCACAAACCTTCAGCAATCATGTCTTCCATCTCTGTGTCAGAGGAGTTATCTGCATGCTTTGCATTATTCTGTAGCTCTGGCTGAACATGCACAGAATTTATCACCTGATTATCCAAAAGAGACCTTTTCTTCACAGGCTGTTCTATTAGCAAAGATGAACGACTCACCTTTAAAAGGGAGAGAGAAGGAAATGAAACAATTTCTAAAAAGATGTTCAGAAATAATTTAAAAACCTTGAAATGAATGGTATCTGTGATCATTTACTTGTTCAACTGATCATGATATGACTTATTCATTGTTTTATGCCTACAAAAAGATTAGGTGATCCAGATATAAATATTTTATGTGAATACTTAAAAATGTTCATAGAAAAATTGAATTAAAGAATGAGTTTATTGGGAACCAGCAGTTAGCGTAATGGCTATGTCGCTGGACTCCCATGTAGTCGACCGCAGTTCGCGTCCCGGACCCGGTGGCTTAAAACTCACGCCGGGCGCGTGTGCGTGCGTGCCCATGATCCCGAGAGGAGAATGGAGGAGAAGGGATTGCGGCGTGACCATCCCCCCTGGGGGGTGATTTCTCGCTTTCTGTCTCTATGTCTCTCTCTGTCTGTCTGGCGAGCGCACGCGCCCTATAGCGAAAATCTCTCTCAAAAAAAAAAAAAAGAATGAGTTTATTTTAGTGTAAAAAATTTTTGACTCCATGCATAATATTTTTATAATATACATTTTCCATGAGCTTTATGAAGGCCTCTCATACTTCTGATCTCCAGCAGTATAGTTATGTCAACATCTCCGTCAAATACAGTCTAGTGTTCGAGATTAGTAGTTCTTTATTGGTTCATCAGGAAAGTCATGATGCATTTTTGCATAGAAAAAAATACGTCATGACTTCCCTGATGGCCTACTAAAAAGGTCTTAGAATCTGATTCTTCCTTATGCTCAGAATTAATACTAATCAAGTTATCCTGCACTATGAATATTCTCCAGTAGCTCAACTCAATATTGAATGACAAAGGCAGTAACTCCAAGTATATTTAGAAGTTGGATTTTTTCTTTTAACTTTTTTTTTTTTTTAATTCCCAGGAAGTGTGTCCCCTCCCAGGGAGAGGAGAGAGAGGGAAGAAAGAAACCACAAATAGGGTATAATCATACTGTAATCTTTCTGCATTTCTCATCCTGTTGAAATTTTAGGCACACATGCATACACACCCAGGGTGTTTTTCCAGCCAACAGAGCCAGTAGACAAACCACAGTTGACTATGTGGGGTCCAGCTCCTTAAACCAGTAAACTTGGCGCTGGCCTAATTAACTTTTAAAAATAAAAATACTATTCAATTAAGCAATTTTCTCTCAAGTTCTATGTGATGACTAATTTTTTTCCTTCAGAAACTAAGGTTTTACATATGTCTGCAATACAAATAAAAGATCAGCAGTAATTTTGACTATCTTAAGTTTTTTCTACAACTTTTTAGATATATCTTTCATGCATAAAGATTTCTATTTGTAGGGTTAGTAATGGTCAAGACAGACCATCTCGCATGTATTTTGTAGATAAGGAGACCGATGTTAACTGTTTAGCTGATAATCTTTACAACAGCAGAGTCAAGGCTGAAACTCTAGTTTCTTGACTCCTATTTCAGCAATCTACTCCACTTCATCACACGCACTTCAACACGGTCCAGCCTGTGGCATGGAGCTTTGTAAAGGCAGCTGGATCACACGTGGCCGACTGTGTGGTCTGAGTAACAACATGCTGGTAAGTGAGTGCCTCCAAATCCCAAAGGCAAAAAGAAATGAAGGGACTGTGGCATGACCATTCCCCATGAGAGGGCTTTCTCACTCCCCCACCCCCTTTCTCTCCAGTGAGTGCACATGCTCTCGGGCAAAAAATAATAATAAATTTAAAATTTTAAAAATTAACATAAACAAAATATTCACTTATGTTCAGTGTACTCGGTTAAGTCATGAATACTACTTATGTTTTTGGCAAAAACAATTTAGACCAAAAATACTGATTCACCGGCCAATCCACAGCTAATCTGAAAAAAAACCAGGATGACTAATGTATTCTTCCAGAAACTGGTAGGTCTCCAGTACCTGCCACACCTGGGGAACAACAGGTGATTCAAAATTTCTATTTTTTTCTTTTGAGAGGTTTTTGCTATAGGGCACGTGCACTCGCCAGACAGACAGAGAGACAGAAAGCGAGAAATCACCCCCCAGGGGGGATGGCCACGCTGCAATCCTTCTCCTCCATTCTCCTCTCGGGATCTTGGGCACACATGCACACGCGCCTGGCATGAGTTTAAGCCACCAGGTCCGAGACGCGAACCGCGGTCGACTACGTGGGAGTCCAGCGACATAGCCATTACGCTAACTGCTGGTCCCAGGTGATTCAAAATTTCTACATTTAACCTTAGACTGTATTCATCCACAAACTTTTAAATTTTGTTCATTTCAGTTATATATCTAATATGCCTCAAGTAAAATTTATGGACATTACAGCTACAAAAAAACTATAATATTCATTGCTGCCATGGGTATAGACTGTTGGTAGACAAATACATTTAAATACTCTTTCCAGAAAATAATTTGGCAACATCTATCAAATACTTTGGCAATAAAATATCAATTTGGCCTGTGTGTGTGAGAGATATGGTACAATAACTCTATTTCTAGGAATTTATGCTAATAAAATTATTTAAAACATGGACAATTTAAACACAAAGATAATACTTTCAGAGTTATTTTTAAAATTTATTCTTTTATTTTTTATTTTTTTTTGGAGAAGTTTTTGCTATCTGGCATGTGCACTCGCCAGAAAGAGAGAGACGGGACCAGCAGTTAGCATAATGGCTACGTTGCTGAACTCCCACGTAGTCAACCACGGTTCGAGTCCTGGACCCGGTGACTTAAACTCATGCTGGGCGCATGTGTGTGCGTGCCCAAGATCCTGAGAGGAGAGTGGAGGAGAAGGGATTGCAGCGTGGCCATCTCCGCTGGGGGGTGATTTCTCACTTTCTGTCTCTCTGTCTCTCTCTGTCTGTCTGGCGAGCACACGCGCCCTATGGCAAAAAAACCTCTCAAAAAAAAAGACAGAGACAGACAGAAAGCAAGAAATCACCCCCTGGGGGGGAGGGCCAAATCATACCCCCTTCTCCTCCATTCTCCTTTCGGGATCTTGGACACACATGCACATGCGCCCAGTACTGAGTTTAAGCCACCAGGTCTAGGGCTCAAACCACAGTTGACTACAGGGGAGTCCAGCAACATAGCCATTACACCATCTGCTGGTCCCTAAAATTTATTTTTAGAGAGTTTTGTTTGTTTGTTTGCTATTGGGCATGTGTTCACTGAAGAGAGAGAGAGAGAGAGAGTGAGAAATCAGCCATCTGGGGGATGGCCATGCCACCCCTTTCTCCTCCATTCTCCTCTCAGGACTTTGGGCACCCAGCATGAGTTTCAAGCCCTCAGGTCCAGGTCTCAAACTACAGCTGGCCATGTGGGAGTCCAGCACCTTCAGCACTACACTGCCCGCTGGCCCCTAGAGCTATAATATTATAAACAGTAAAAAACAAACAAGCAAACCGGAATATAAATGTCCAACAAAAAGGAATACATTTATTATGGCTGTCCATAAAGTGAAACATGTCATCTTTCAAAATGTTTAAGGATAGGCCCAGCCATGGTGGCACAGGAAGTAGGGTACCACTGTGTAATGCTGGAAGCCATATGGAAGGCTGGGTATTCTGATCCCAGGTCAACCTGAGCACCAGGTGCTCATGCCTTGATCCTGGCTGGCTGGAAATGGGTTAGGGGTAAGATACCACAGCATAATGAAATGCTGTCAAGAGTTTCTCTCAAGATAAACTAAACTCCAAAAAGAAACAAAGGGCAACCCAAGGCCTAGTGGTTAAGGGAACTGGTTCCAAGGCCATCTGCAGTTCAAATTCTAGCGCTGGTGGCTTGGTAAATACCCTGGGTGTATGTGGATGCAGGCCCCACATACAGACAAGATGGAGAAATAGAAAAGGAGAGGTTGTGGCATGTTCACTCCATCAGCGGAGGCGTTCCTCCTCTCGGTCTCTCTGTGATGAGTTCACATACTCTTTGGCAATTAAAAGTTTAATGATATGGGAAAATAAATGCTCAATCACTAAGTGAAAGAAGCAGCTGGACCAGCCAATGGCACACCAGTGAAGACTGAATCCTACATGGCCAACTGTGTAATTCGAGTCCCAGACCTGGTAGCCTGAGAAACATTCTATCAGATTTGTACCTGCCCAAAAATTCCAAGAGGAGAATGGAAGAGAAGGGACTGCGAAGTGGCCATCCTCCCTAGGGGGTGCTTTCTCACTTTCCCTCTCTCTCCCTATCTCTCTCTGGCAAGTGCATGAGCCTTGTAGCAAATTAAAATAAATACATACATAAATAAATAAAGCAGTACTGTATTTATTGTAATAATCTTGGTCATGTAAAATATATATACATAGTATTGTGGATTATTCATTCTGTACATAGCCTAAATTTTCTATTTAAAATGTGTACAATTTTGTCACTAAAAAAAATCACTGTGCCACCAGCTGATGCTGACCCTAGTTTTATATTCTACCTGTCTTTGATTTATTTTTTAATGAAGAATTATTTTATTTTATTTTATTTACTTACTTATTTCAATTTGACCAGAGAGGGATAGAGCGAGAGAGAGGTAAAGCAAGCCACCAGGTCCAGGACTTGAACCACAGTTGGCCATGTAGGAGTCTAGCACCCTTAACCACCATGCCACCCACCGGCCCTTGACTTATTTTCTAAAGAAAAATGTTCACCTCTAGCTACTAGCATATAAATTATGTATAGCTAGTCTCAAATTTGAAGACTTGTAGTGATAAAGTACCTCCATTTTGAAGCAAGCATTTTAAAAATGTAATTGAGAGCCAATATTTAGGAATAATGAGAAAAATCAATCTAACTGTAAGCCATCAATTGGGTAACTTCAGATGTATCAGGTAATTGGGAAGTTAGTATTTTCTGCACACACATTAAAGCTCACAAAGTATCACATACAAAAAACACCATTTTAAAACTAATAGACTTTAGGTTTCATTTTAGTTTCCTTAAAAAAATAGAAGTTTATTTAATTGGAATAAACTTCCAACTACCTTTCTCTAAAAATTATAAAATTGCTAGCTCTCTATTCTGAAAATATTTTCATTTATTCCTTAGTTTATATGTCTAAATAGCTAGTATAAAAACTCTAAAAATATTATCTAGAAATATACAAAGGATAAAGATGGATTAATTATAGATCAAAATTGAAAATTAAAAAAAATATAAAACTACAAGCTTTTAGGGGAATTTGTAAGAAAATTGTTAATAAAGAGTAAGAGGGGAACCAGCAGTTAGCGTAATAGGTATGTCGCTGGGCTCCCACATAGTCGACCGCGGTTCGCGTCCCGGACCCGGTGGCTTAAAACTCACACCAGGCGCGTCTGCGTGCGTGCCCAAGATCCCGAGAGGAGAATGGAGCAGAAGGGATTGTGGTGTGACCATTCCCCCTGAGGGGTGATTTCTCGCTTTCTGTCTCTATGTCTCTCTGTCTGTCTGGCGAGCGCACGCGCCCTATAGCGAAAATCTCTCCAAAAAAAATAAAAATAGAAAAAAAAAGAGTAAGAGTACATATAAATAAAAGGAAGAGGCTATGAGAAGGTGCAGAGTAAAAAATAATAGTAATATGTATTTAAAATCTAGATATGTATAACAATGTGATATCCGATATGGAAGATGAGTATGTATATATCCTTGATTTGTTATATACTCTTTGCATGCTCTGAAAAACCATACTGTACCTCACAAAAATGTAAATCAAATATATATAGACCAGAAATCATCATTTTTTTAAATGACAAGTTTTGTTTTGTTTTCTTTTCTTTTCAGAGACATTTTTGCTATTCTGCACATGGCTCAGCACAGAGACAGAGGAAAGCAAGAAATCACCCCCCCGGGAGGGTGGCCACAACGCAATCTCTTCTCCATCCTCCTCTCGGGATTTTGGGCACACATACATGTGCCCAGTGTGAGTTTCAAGCCTCCAGGTCTAGGACTCCATTTGGAGTCAACTGTGGGGGAGACTAGCACCTTAACCACTATGCCACTGGCTGGGCCCCAAATTACAAGTCTTTATAAGAGAACAATAATAGGCAGTTTAAAAAATAATGTCTGTGGAGGCCAGAAGATGGCACAGTGCTGAAGGTACTGGATCCCACGTAGCAGACTGCACAGTTCAAGTATCAGACCCAGCATCTTGAAAAACACACCAGGCACCAATGCATGAGTGCCCAAAATCCCAACAAGAGAATGAAGGAGAAAAGAGTATAGCATGGCTATCCCCCATGGAGTGATTTCTTATCCTCTCTCTCTTATCTCTCTGGCAAGAACAAGTGCCCTATAGCAAAAATAAATAAAATAAATAAAAAATAAATAAAAAACAATGTTTGTAAATTAAAGCCCATGCATGCACGAGAGCATGTGTGTACACGTACATAGACACACAGACACACACACCCTTATTACTTACTGGAAATGGCTCCAATCCCTCCTGAATCACAAAGCCTTCAATGACATGGGTCAAGATCTGGGGTTTAACGATTGCCTTTGGAGGTTTGTTCTCTATGCTGGGGATGCTGCCGGGTACAGACGTACTATTACTTCTTGTGGTCGCAGCTGGAAGTAAGAGCGGAGGTGGAGGGACAGAGACATGTGAGGGGTCTGACGGAGACTTAATCACTGAAGCACTGACTGACGCAGCAGCAGGTAATTCCACTTGCTCTGGAAATAAAAAGTTCATTTTTTTGATGTTTAGCATTTTATTCAGGCATACAAAGGAATCTGAGAATAAACAGTAACAGTTAGTATCTGGTGCTTTTAAAAACTGTTCTGAAGGGACCAGCAGATGGCATAATGGTTACACTGCTGGATTCCCACAGTCAACTGTGGTTCAAGTTCCGGACCTGGCGGCTTAAAACTCATGCCGGGCATGTATGTGTGCCCAAGATCCCAAAAGGAGAATGGAGGAGAAGTGATTATGGCATGGTCATCCCCCCTGGAGGGGTGACTTCTGGCTTTCTGTCTCTCTGTCTCTAGCTTTCTGGTGAGCAGATGTGTCCTATAGCAAAAATCTCTCAAAAAAACAAACAAAACAAAACAAAACAAAACAAACCCTGTTATAAGTTATGATACATTAGGCAATAAGCCAATCAATAAAACAATGTCAACGCATTATTACAAAAAAATGTTCTAAGACCTTTGTATTTATTATCTCATTTAATCCATACAATAATATTTTTCATCTTTTTTTTTTTTTTTTTTAAGATTTTTGTCATAGGGCTCATGAGCTCACTCGAGAGAAACAGAGAGTATGAGAGGAAAAGCGAGAACTTATCCTCCAGGGGGAATGGCCATGCCGCAATCCCTTCTCCTCTATCCTCCTCCTGGGATCTTAAGCATGCATGCACACAGGCAATCCAGTATGATTTTCAAGCTGCCAGCCAGGACTAGAACTGAGGTCAGCCATGTGGGAGTCCAGAGACAGTAAGAGGCAAGGTGAGAAATCATCCCCCGGGGCGATGGTCACACTGCAATCCCTTCTCCATTATCCTCCTGGATTTTGAGCACACACGCCCAGCTTGAATTCTGAACTGCTGGATCCAGGACTCGAACTGTGATCAGTCATGTGGAAGTCCAGCACCTTAACCACTTAGCCACCTGCTGGTCTTTAAGAATTTTTTATCTTAAGTTTATTTATGTATTTATTTATTTTGCCATAAGCAAGAGAGACAGAGACAGTACCCCCACCAGGGTCCCAATGCCATGATTCGCCTCCAGCTCCAGCCAGCCCTGATCATGGACACTGGATTATCAAACTGAGGAGTTCCACAAAAATCCTATCCCACATACCCAATCTTCACATATACTTCTAGGGAACAAGGATAAAAGATACACAATTCCAAAGCAGGACTGAAAGGTATTTTTATTTTGGAAGGACAAAATTACAAGGAGCTAAAACATAAAATTTCTATGTCACTTACAGATACTCTGTTACTTTAGAAATATAAAACCGGGCCAGCTCCTGGCATGATAGTTAAACCAGCTGAATCCCAATAGGCAGCTGCATGGTTCCAGTTCTGAACCTGACAGCTTGAGAAACACACCGAGTATCACCCCATGGGGATGCCTGCTCACTTTCCCTCTTGCCCTCTCCCCACTCTCTCAAGTGAATGCACGCACCCACTGGCAAATTTTAAAAAAGATAAAACAAACAAACAAAGAAATATAAAGCTACAGGGCTGGCCCTGAAGTCTAATGATTAAGGAAGCTGGATCCCAAATTCTAACAGGACAGAGAAATGGAGAAGAAATTATGGCATGACCCTGCCTCATCAGAGAGTGCTTTCTCCCTTTCTGCCTCTCTCTAGTGAGCGAGCGCATGCACCCTCTGCAATTGAAAGAAAGAAAGAGACAGACAGAAAGCAAGCAAGCTGTATTAAGTATAATTCGGTTTGTTCAGAAAATACTGCTTGGGGCTGACAAGTGGCCTGAAGTTAAGGCGCCTGGATCCCCCCTGGCTGACTGCGTGGCTGAGTCCTGGACCCGGTGGGGGGGCACGTATGTGTATGTATCCTAACTCCAGAGAGAAGAATGAAAGAGAGGGGACTGTGGTGTGGCCATTCCCCTGGAGGGTGATTTCTCACTTTCTTTCTCACTGTCTCTGTCTCTCTCTGGTGAGTACATGTGCCCTAAAGCAAAAACCTCTTTAAAAAAAAAAAAAGGCACCCCCCCAATGTGGGATGGCCACACTATAACCACTTTTCCAATCTCCTCTAGGGATTCTGAGCAGAGAGACATGCATATCTACCATGTTTTCAAGTCGCCCGGTCCAGGATTCCAACCACACAACGAGCCATGTGGAATCTAGCCACCTTACCCAGCACGCCACCAGCTGGCCTCGTTACTGACTTTTTGAAGATGCTAATAGCTATTATTTGCCAGTTTATAATAAGCTGTTGAAATTGAAAATGCAAGAAACATTGACATATACAGAACAGAAAGACAATTTAAGACAAGTGTGAAAGAAAACCCACGTTAACTAGCATCACTTGGTCACAAGTTACTATTGTTTATTCACAGTCTCATTTTGTAAGCAAGAGCTATGAGCTTTTTATTTTGGTATGGATGTTTCTTACTTTTAAATAATGTTTATACATTTATAATAACAAGTCTGAGGCCGGAGTGTGCTGCAGTGGTAAGAGGTAACACTCTACCAGCTGACCCACATAGGTGGGTTCCAGAGGTCTCCCTAAGCACACCAGGCCCTGGGATGCCCATGATTCAGGGCTGGCTGAGGCTGGGAGTGGACTAGTGTCAAGACCTTGTTAAGAGCACCAACTCTCACTCTCACTCTCTCTCTCTCTCTTACTCATGGAAGAAATAAATAAGCAAACTTAAAAAACAAAATGAATCTTTTTTAAAAATCTGTTACAGGGGCCAGCAGTTAGCACAGTGGCTATGTCGCTGAACTCCCATGTAGTCGACAGCGGTTCATGTCCCGGACCCAGTGGCTTAAAACTCACGCCAGGCACGTGTGCATGCTCGCCCAAGATCTCAAGAAGAGAATGGAGGAGAAGGGATTGTGGCGTGGCCATCCCTCCTGGGGGGTGATTTCTCGCTTTCTGTCTCTTTGTCTCTCTCTGCCTATCTGGCGAGCGCACGGCACGCACCCTATAGCAAAAACCTCTACAAAAAAAAAAAAAATCTGTTATATAAAATGTTTAAAGTTTTATTTCCATTTTGTGATAGAGAGCGTGTATGTGCACACAGAAAGCAAGTTAACAGGTCCCATCATGTCGCACTCCTGCTCTTCCCTTGTCCCCCAGCTCCTCAGGATCCTGGGCATGTAACTCCTGACACGTTTCAGGTTAAAACCATCAGGAACTAAACTGGCAGTGGGCCACGTGGTTCCTAGCACTGAGTCCAGTATGCTACCATCATGTCTCCCAGGCTGGGCCATAATTCTACATCATTTTATCAAGTAATCTTTTGTTTTGTTTTGTTTATTCTCCAAGAGGGAGACAATGTTAAAAGAAAATTACATTTCCCCTCCTATGCTTTCCAGACACTTACAATAGAGTAAGGAAATAAAGCCCTGAGAGAAGGGAGGAGAAAGGTATGAGGCATGCTGGAGAAAGTAGAGGGCCAGGGCTGCTTTGACAGCAGACAGGGTCAGGGCCCTCTACAAGCTGTTTCCACGCCTTCCCAGCTGAAAGTGACCATGAGGACCATGGGACTGCTCGACAGCACTGAGTGCTTACAACAGAGCCTGAAGAAAGGTCAGTACTATTTAGAGCAAGGGTCAGCAAAGTTCTGTAAAGAGCAACTACTCAACTTTGTGGTCATTGTCACAGAAGCAGACACAGAAAATATCTGAACAAGTGACTATAACTATGTTCCTTCCAACTTTTTTTTAATGGATGATGAAATTTGAATTTCACATAATTTTCACATGATATAAACAATTACTCCTGATATTTTTCTACCATTCAAAAATTTTAAAACCATCCTTAGCTTGGACCATACAAAAATAAACAGCAGGGAAGATTTGAACAGTGAGCTTAGTTTGCCAATCCCTGACCCAAGTAAAATATACATACATTTAAAAAACAAAACAAACAAACAAAAACACACAACAGAGGCCAGGAGATGATGTAGCAGTTACATCCTGGACTACCACATGGCTGACCTCGGTTCTAGTCCTGTGCCCTGGTGTCTTCAAACTCATGCCAGGTACTTGTGCATGTATGCATGCCCAAGATTCTGGGAGGAGAATGGAGAAGGGATTTTGGCTTGCCCATCCCCCCCAGGGGGTAATTTCTCTCTCTCTCTCTCTCTCTCTCTCTCTCCAGAGAGTCTAAATGCTCTAAGGCAAAAACCTCTACAACAAACAAACAAAAACCACACAGAACATATCTTTTTCTTAAGACAGACATCGGGCTGTAGGTTATACTTATGTTTTAGTAAGTACCTAGTGTTCACAGTAAATTTGATCCTGTGAGGCAGAGTGTAGAGATTTTTAAAAAGTACACAGGATATTTACTTACACTCCGTAGAAGTAGTGAAGGAGGGGAAAGAATTAAAATGTGTAAATATGAGATTTTTAAAACCCATCTCTCTTGTAAAAATTAATGAAGCTTACCTTGAGTACTATAAGTATTAACACTTTTTTTATTTAAAAGAATTATTTTATTTTTAAAACTTATTCATACATACATACATACATACATATATATATATATCCCAGAGGGGACAAAGTGAGAGAGAGAGAAGGTGAAAAAGCAAGCCACCAGATGCAGGACTTGAACTGAGGTCAGCCATATGGGAGTCCAGCGCCCCTAACCACCATGCAACTGCCGGCCCCAGTGTTAACACTTTTTAAAGCATGTATTCAGCCTGGATCATAAACAATTGTGAGAAATATCAGATATGAGTTAGAATGCTCTGTAACTTTTGGAAAGTATAATTCAAATCTTTCGATAGAATTTTTTCTTTCTTGGCCAGAGGGCACATGCACTCACCAGAGACAAAGAGGAGACGGAGAGAGCACCCCCAGTGGGGCAAGGTCACGGCACAACCCCGTCTCCATCCTGGGATGGAGGGCGCACACATACACACACGCACCAGCATGTTTTTCAAGTTGCCATGGCTGAGACCTGAGCCAGTGTCGGCCATACTACTCCTTTAACCACTAGGCTACAGGGTCAGACCTAGAATTTTGATTTAGTCTTTTCTTTGCTTTTTTATTGGTATATCTCTTTCAGACTAGATCCTCCATGTATCTTTTGCATATTGTATCCCCCCCTTCTTTATTTTGTTCAATTTGCTAGAGGGTATATGCTCACTGAAGAGAGAGGAAAAGAATGAGAAAGCAAGAGAGCACCGCCATGGAGAATCCCGTCTCCTCCATTTCTACCTCCTTGCAAGATTTTGGGCATGCTCACAAACACACACACACATGCATGCATATCGTTCGAGTGGCTGAGTCTGAGACTTGAATTGCACATCAACCATATGGGATCCAGTTGCTTTAACTATCATACCACCGGTTGACCTGACTTATTCTAATTTTTAAGCTAGACATACCTTGACAGTGAACCCGAATGGCATATGAAACACATCTGCACAGACCACTAAATATTAGAAGACTGAAATTATATGATTCTCATTTGGATTCCTCTGAAAAATTTATGAACTACTTAGCTTCCCTGGTATTAAAGAATTGTCCAAGGAGGCAAATAATTCTTATTCACTCTTTAGGCTGTTCTTCATCAAAAAACAAAAACGTGAATTCGAATCTATCCTTTCCAATGATTAGCTACAGGAATTAATTCCTTAATTCCATCTCAAGTGAAAAAAGATTTTACCATTACTGACATTTACTCAGTAGAAAAAGTTCCCTAAATTTTGTATTTCCTCACCTAACAAAGGATGTTCAGAACTCAAATCTTCTCCTCTCCCCACAGTCACCGCTGCAGGAGACAATGTTGGTGGTGGGGGTGTTCTATCCATCCGGACACATTCATCTGACTCTTCTGGCATTTCTTCTTCACACACATCTTCAACTTGATAAACCTGCAAAGATAAATCACACTGCCTTAAAGTGTTTCAAAAAATAAATTTAATGAAGTGCCCTTTATTTTAAAAAACTAAATTCTCGGTGTATATAATTTAAATACAAGGCAAGTGACTATTCTGACAGGTTGAAAGGAAACTTTCAAATTACTCAGTTTTCTAAAATAGTTTTGATACTACACTGAAAGTGAGTACCAAACATCACTAAAGATTCCAAGAAGATGATAGTCAAGTTTTGACATATTTTTAACTTTGAGAATTAAAAAAGAACTTTTTATTTTATACAACCAAATAATTATTTTTGTTAACTTCTGTCATTAGATACCGATACTGCTCACAAGCACATTAAGTAAATCTTCAAATGACATACAATACATTAGAAAATATACTGCCAAGAGGCTACACCCCGTCCTTCATTAATTAAAGATCATATTATGATGACTAGTATTTGAGTATCTACAAAAATGCAATTACATCTTTTCTGTTCTGCTTAAGAATCTAATGAATCTTTGCAAGCAGGAAATATCTTTCTGAAACAATACACACACATACAGCCATGCACACCCACAACCTAACCCATCTGACATTATTTTTTTTTAATTTATTTTATTTCATTTTATGCATCATCACTATTAACTTGTTAATCAGAGAGAGACAGGGGGAATGTGAGAAAGGCAGCTGCCAGATCCGGAATTCGAACCACGGTCAGCCATGTGGGAGTCCAGTGCCCTTAATCACCACGCCACCTGCTGGCCCCCTGACATTATTTTTCTAGTTCTCTAATACTATTCAATACTTAAGAAAGAGAGTTGTTAAGTTTTTAACTTTTAACTACCTTATTATTCAATTGTTAAGATTATACTTTTCAAGGAAGGTGGACTCAAAAGCACTCTGGGGAAGAGCTCCGTAACTAGAAATAAGTTATTACTGCTGTTTTATTAAACTTAAGGCTTAATTTGCAAAGTGTACTTCTAACAACTGATATAGATGTTTTAATCTTTTGTTTATTATTTATTTACCCATCACTTATGACGGATGACAAATTACTCAAAATAAACTCCAAAACAATTCGCTTCCCTTCTTTTGTGTACAAAGCTTATTACTTAAATTTACAAGGACCATTATTTTTTTAAGATTACATACCAGACTAATTCATATTCCGAAAAATGTTTAAAAAATGAAAACTTTCAACATTTACGAAAAGCCTTGCGACACCTAAAATTGTATGTATTTTAACTATTGAAAAGTTTGTAACTTGAAGTACATAAAATTAAACATAAACGTGGTCAAGTTTCTGAAAGGCATATAAACAACGTGTTCTAAAAGAAACTGAAGTTCCACCTCTAAAGGAAAACCTAACAATAAGCAATAGAGCTAAAAATATAAAATAAAATATTTCCTGGGTCAGCAGGGAATGTGGTGGTTAAGGTGGCTGTATCCCAAATGGCCAACTGCGCGGTTCAAGTCCAGACCTAGTGGTACGTGTGTATGTGCCCAAAATCCCGAGAGGAGAACGGAGAAAGGATTGACTGTGGGCATTTTCTTCTAAGGAGTGCTTTCTCACTTTCTCTTTCTCTCTCTGTCTTCCACAAGTCACACGTACCCTATTGCAAACTTAAAAAAATTTTTTCCAAGACTCTCATAGAATAAAACATCTTGTTACTCTTTTTAAAACTGAAAGACCCGGGACCAGCAGTTAGCGTAATGGCTATGTCGCTGGACTCCCACATAGTCGACCGCAGTTCAAGTCCTGTACCCGGCGGCTTAAACTCATGCTGGGCGCATGTGTGTGCGTGCCCAAGATCACAAGAGGAGAATAGAGGAGAAGGGATTGTGGCGTGGCCATCCCCGCTGGGGGGTGATTTCTCGCTTTCTGTCTCTCTGTCTCTTTCTGGCGAGCACATGCGCCCTATAGCAAAAACCTCTTAAAAAAAAAAAAAAAAAAACTGAAAGACCCTACTGTTACAGATCTGTTATATATAACATGCAAAATCAGCTACCAAATAGGTTAAGTTTTAAAAGTCATTTGCTCACAAGTCGCACCTAGAAACCTGTTTCACAAGAGATGCCCCCATCTCATGTGTGGATCTCAGAAGGGAAGGTGGCCTGTTGTTACTGTGCACTGCAAGGATGACAGCTTTTAACACCTGTTCATGACGATAATTTTTTAAATGATGATAATGCTCAATACAGAAGAAAAAAAATCGGGGGCGGGGGTAAGAAAAGAAAATAAACAAAAATAAACAAGAACCAACCAACAAACAAAAAAATGCAGGGCCACTACTGCAGCCTGGTGAATAAGGGAGGCTGATGTCATGTGGCTGGCATTGTTGAATCTCGGCCCTTGCAAACTGAAAGTCACACCAGGTGCATGTGCATGTGTGCCCCCAAGTCTGGATGGGATGGAGAAATGAAAAAGAAGAGACTGCAGCGTGCCCACGCCACTAGAGGGTGCTTTCACTCTTTCTCTATTGAGCTCACATCCTCTGGCAATTAGAAATAAACAAAAGAGGGACTAGTAGCATAATGGCTATGTTGCTGGACTCCCATGTAGTTGACCACGGTTCAAGTCCCAGACCCAGTGGCTTAAGCTCACACAGGGCACATGTGCATGCATGCCCAACATCCCAAGAGGAGAATGAAGGAGAAGGGATTGCGGCGTAGCCATCCCCCCAGGGGGTGATCTCTCACTTTCTGTCTCTCTCTGTCTTTCTGGCAAGCACACACGCCCTGTAAGAAAAATCTCTCTCTCAAAAAAAAAAAAAAAAATCTACAAAAAGAATAAAGAAACAAACAAAAGGGGCATCTGTTACCACACTGATGAACATGAGTGGTGGGGTACGGGTGCTAATGCAGAGTATGGTTTTATCAACTGGCTCAGTTTATCTATTACTATGCATAACATTCCTGTACTAGATCCTACCTTCTTTCAAAGAGCATTATCTTTTCTTAAAACTCCCAGGGCTGGCAGATGGTGTGTGGTGGTGAAGGTGCTAGGCTCCCACATGGTTGACTGGTTTGAGTCCCAGACCTGGTGGCTTTCTTGCTCACTTTCCCTCTGTCTCTCTCTGGTCAAATTAAATAATAATAATAATAATAAATAAAACTAAATAATTCTTTAAAAAATGAAAATTCCTTTCATCTTAATATTGCCACATGTAATGCAAACATCTGTGAAAGTATCTTTTTCCTTTATTTTATTTTTAAAATTTATGTGATAGGGTACCTGTGCTTGCTAGAGAGACAAAGACAGAGAGGGAAAAATAAAAAATCACCCCCAAGGGAAAATAGGCATGCTGTAATCCCTTCTCTTCTGCTCTCAGGATCTTGGGCACCCACACACATGTGTCTGGCATGTTTTTCAAGCTGCTGGGCTGAGACTTGAACACCTGGAATCCAGCCACCTTAACCACCATGCAACTGGCTGGCCCTCTAGCATCTTTCAAGGAATAAAAGTTTGATCATGCACAGAATTCTAATTTTAAAAATAATTAAAGAGTTTTAAAGAATGGAATCACAACACAAATAATATATTTTGAAATAATCTATCACAGAATACTGTAAAATATTTCTTTATAGTTAATCTAGCTGTACACACTTTCTTCCAAGTCTCCCATGTAAAAGCAAAATGAGTTAATGAACAAAAGTGGCATGACAAATCTGTCACAGACATTGGCACAATCAGCATTATAAACTCTAAATGTGACAACTGAAGCTCTGTAAAACCCAAAGTGGAGGTTTTGCTCACAAAATCACTTGGAACTACACACAGCAATTACTATTTAGCTCGTAACTGTAACTATCTTAAAAGTAGCAAAGACCATAAACTTCTCTCACTAAATCCCATTATTCTCACCAGTTTCTGTCCTAAATAAACTGAGAATCATTTGTTTATTACTTCTAAGTGATCTAACTTCAACATACCTTATTTATACCCAAAATGTCAATATAAAAACTTCAATTCTTTGATGAATACATCTTTTTAAAAATATACTAATTTTACTTTAATTTACGCTCATCTTAACAATTCCATGTCTCTTAAGAAATAAATTTCTCTGTACTTTGAAACAATCAGGAAAGTAATTTGTGCAAAAAAATGTGTTTTTGTGGGGAAAAAAATACAACTGGTCAAAGATAATAAAAAAGGAGCATAAAGCAATTTAATAAACTGTATTACTGAAAGAAAGGTAAAAGGTGAAACAAAAAGGTCACACAGAAAGATCTATAGCTAGTATAATGACCATATAAGTGACATCGTAAAAAATGTCATAAAAAAACTTACAAAAATGATCATTTTCTTTCTAATTTATAAAAGGAGTAGGAGGCCAGCCTTATGGCTTGGTGATTAAGAGAGAGAGATTCCAAATGGCTGACCATGCAGTACAAGCTCCCAACTGAGAAGTTTGAGAAACATGCCAGGCGCATGTGGGTGCAAGCCCCAAATCCCCAAATCAGGGAGAAATGGAGAAGGGGTTACTGGTATGACCATTCCCCATGCTTTCCCCCTCTCATTCTGCCTCTCTCTAGTGAGTGCACACGCCCTCCATCAAATAAAAAATAACAAAAGGGAAGAGAACGACAAAAATGGGACAAAAGGGAGGTGAAGCAACAAAATTGGACCTGAAGTAATTTTAGCTTTAATCTAACTCATTTTCAATGTATCGTTTTTGATATTTCTATCCCAAATGTGTTCCTCCAAAGGTTTCCTCTAATAAAAACAATTAGAAAAATATAAGGAATACTGAAAAGTTTTCATTTTTTACTTGTTAAAAACCTAATCACTGGGGCTGGCAAGTGGCAGGGTGGTTAAGGGTGCTGGATTCCCACATGGCCAACCATGGTTCAAGTCTCAGACCTGGTGGCTTGCTTTCTCACTTCCTCTCTCTCTCTGTGTCTCTCTCTGATCAAACTGGAAAATAACAATGATAATAATAATAAATAAAGTTAAATAAAATCTTTTAAAAAAAAAAAACCTAATCACTAGGGCTAGCAGGTGGCATGGTGATTAAGGCACTAGACTCCTACATGGCTGACCACGGTACACGTGCCGGACCGTGTTGCTTGCTTTCTCACTCTTTCTCCCTCTCTGTCTCTCTGACTGGCCAAACTGAGAACAACAATAAACAAATAAAGTTAAATAAATAATTCTTTTTAAAAAAATTTTAAAAACCCTAATCCCCAAAATATATAATAAGAAAATAAATTTAATTTAATTTCTTTGAAGGTACTGTCTACTTCCTAAGCCTGTGTTTTTGTTACAATATTCATTTTAGACTCCTCAAAAATCCATTCAAAGAAAATACAGATGTGGTAATTAAATGACAAAACATATCTAGATGTCTACTATTTTTTTTTATTCAATAAAAGTGAACAGAAAGTGGAATTCAATTTATTTACACCTATTAAAATCAGTCAGAATGACAGAACAAAAAAAAAATCTATAAATTTACATAGAAAATCAAAAAGTGTCCCAATAAAGAACGGACTCTGAAACGCCTTTTTTTCTAAGTTAATGGGATGAAATCTCTTTAATAAGGTTTATCAAAACCACCCTTTAGGAAACTCTTCCTCAACTAGAAATTATGAATTTGATCATTCTGACTAAGAAATTAGAGATCTTATTTAAATTTTATTATACATTATTTTGTGCATCTTAAAAAGCCTTCTACAAAATGTGTAAAGAATTTTTTTTAAGGTAATTTCCCTTTTTAGGCAATGTGTAACCTTCTGAGAGACTTATTCCAATAAATTTCACTACAATCTCAATTATTCAAAACTTTTACTTCTCCGAATGGATTATTTTCATCCTCAATATTAAATTCATCCACTGAGATTTTTCAATTTCTTAAATGGAAATATTTAAAGCATATTTTTTAGTAGAAATAAAAATCATAAGTTTAATCATTCTGTAAGATGATCTGTTATTATTTTTTTATAGTGGGATTCTTCCACAGAATAATTTTTTTCAGAATTTTAGTTAAAAGACAATTTTATCAAAAAAATTACATCATACAAACATACCTCTCCACCTTGAAACCAAAGGCCCTAAGTGGCCCAGGACTTCAGAGAGCATACAACCAAAAAGTTTAGCTAGATAAACCGTACGTTTAAAAACACACAAGCCAACAGAAGGGATCTATGAAGGATAATCACCTTAAGTGAAAAAACTTTGTGCAGATGACACTGGTTCAAATGCATTCCCTTGGGGAAAAAAAATCAACTCTGTAAAGATAGCAGATGGATTTGTTTAAATAGTAATAAAATTAACGAGGGACTTTAATAACCATCACAAATAATCAAGCATGCAACCACAGTAAACAAACAAAGGCATCTCTTTTGTTTTCTTGCCTATACAGCATTTGTCAGAACACTGACATATGGAAATGTCAAGCTTTTTAAGTTCATAGGCATTTAGAGCTAGCGATATAACATAATGTGAGAGAAAAAAGTTTTTACTTTTAGTTCAGCAAGAAAGTCAAAGAGCTTCCAAGGGCTTACCACTGGTGGATCAACAGGTGCTGGAGGTTGTACTTGCAGGTTTACCGCCACAGTCTGTGGAGGAGGAAGGGTCTGAAATGGCAACTGGACCAAAGCTTCTGCGGCTGGAAGCTCCTCTTCTGACACCAATGCATTCTGCACCAAAACCTGGCCCTGAGATAGAATTTCAGGCTGCACTTGTAAAGACTGCATAGGCTGCAAGGGCAGTGGCGGAATCTGAGCTGGAGGAGATGTCGACATCTGTGGAGGGGTTGCAATTGGGATTGGAGAAGACTGCAGGGTTGAATATTGCTGGTGTGAGGTTGGAGAGACAATCTGCTGACTGGGAGACACCAAGGCAGACTGCTGAACTGGGCCAATGTGTACAACAGGGGAAGTTGGAAGTGGAAGATGGGATGGAAGATTCAGCTGTGCTGTAGTTTGCACCTGATTAGCAGTGGACTGCTGCAGATTTGGTCCTGGCTGGAGAGCTGATGACACAAGAGGGTGCGGCTGAATAAGTGCCTGTGGATGAATAATTATAGTAGGAGACTGACTTGGTGAATGAGGTGGGGGAGGAGACACCACTACGGACTGCTGCGCTGACTGTGACTGACTAGGAGACACTGTCAAAGGAGGGGGGTGACTCTGAATTGGTGAGCAATGCTGTGACTGGGCGTTACTCGGAGCTGGAGGAAGGCCATGGTTTTGGAGTGGCATACAATGCTGGGATGGGGGTGGGTCTTGAGTTGGATTCTGAAGTGTGATTGGCTGAATTTGCTGTTGCTGCTGTTGTAGTATCAGTTGATGATGGGAAACCTTGGGAGGAGGTGAATGAAGAGGAATCTGCTGATGTTTTATTAAAGAATGAGGCTGCATTGGAGAATATGAAGCTGTGAGAGAAAAAAATGACAATTAGTATTTATTTAAAAAATCTCTTCAATGTTAAAATAAAAGTCATTATCATCAGAATTCTATTATAAGTCCTCTAGAATGATTTGAAAATTAAAGAAAAGTTTTCCTTGGAAAACTATGAACATTTCATAAAATAAGCTGTACTGTGTGATACATTTCAAAGTAAAATTGCCTAAAACAAATGAATTCAGAATCTTCATGATTTATTCTTATTAAATTTTATAGGTCACCAATAAATCTATATTAACTTCTAACAAAGTTGATACATTTGAATTTCTTCTTTGAGAAAGAATAGGCATATCATTACTAAACCAGTTTAATATATAAAAGGTAACTTCAAAATCATAAAAATGCTATGCCAAAACTCATAGAGTTCATGAAACAAAAGATCTATATCTAAACACGCTTTGAACTAACAGTCAAGGTGTTAACTTATAAAGCTTCCCATGTGAGTTTCCAAATTTGAGCTGAAGATCTATCTTATGTGACCCCGAAAATGTTTTGTATAAAATGTAATTCAATTAAGCAAGACACACATATAAATTCTGTAGCACAGGTAAATAAACACTGTAACTAAGAACTGAAGCATAGGGGCCATCCCAAAGCTAGGAGAACACTAGTTTTGCTATAGACAATGAGGCAGTCAGAAATCCATGCCATCTAAACAAGCTTGTTTCCCCATCACCCACACCAAATAACAAAACAAAAAAATCCTACAGTAATTTCTATGAGGAGTCACTCACAACACAGACAGATATACAGAAGAACCGGCACAACTGAGCTGTAAGTAGTTCGTTCCTCCATCATTGTGCCTCTTCTGCACACCAGTACATGTTTCCACAGCAGAAAATGCTACTGATACCCTATCTAAATAAGAACGGATCTGGACTCATATACACGGTATTCATGCTGGAAAAGCCAATGCTATAGACTGTAACGATATATTTGGTTAAATGTAAATTAAAATTAAAAAAGAATAAAATAAAATTTTTAATATAAATAAGAATGGAAAGGGGGATACCTAAAAGATAAACTCAAATAACTGGTTAGTTTTAATATTATGTAAAAATTATACATACTTAAAAAGATCTAAAGATGGCAATATTTTTTTAATCTCAGAATGTTAAGATAGAGACTACGTAACATTTTGCATCTATTTTTATATCCAATGGTATTTTTAACAACAACCTTATAAAAACTTCCAACAACTTCTTTGAAAGCTTTATGCTTGATTAGTATTTAAAACTGGGTAATCCTTAAAAAATCTCATTAACACCTGAAGGAAGATGCCATTTAGAGTTTAATAGATGCACATTAATTGTAACGAAAAAGAAAAGGAAACTGGGTATAAAATCTCACCTAACAAAATAATTTCCACATCATAAGTAGACTAGCCCTTCAATCTAAGATGCAATATTTTACAGCAGACCTTTACAAATGTGTGGATACAGACTACACTATAAAGTATTCAAAAAGGTGAATCTACAAAATCTTGCCCTACAATGGACTGCCTTTTCCTCCAAGGAGCACAAAGTACTTCCTATCTCTCATTTATACTCACAAAATGCCTGTGGAATGGGTGTTATTATCCCACTCTTAGAACTAAAGAAATATTTTTGCAAGCATAACAGCAAAGATCCACTCTAATTTCATTCCCTTTGGAATGAACCGGGACCCGGTCCTGGACCGGGTCCAGGACGCGAACCGCGGTCGACTACGTGGGAGTCCAGCGACATAGCCATTACGCTAACTGCTGGTCCCTACAATCATTCTTGTCAACACTGGCCAGCTAGTGCTTTGAGGCTGAGAGTACTCTGCACGATTCAGTGCAAAAACCTAACTATCAAGCCATAAAGAGAGCAGAGCCTGGCATACAAATGTTTGTAACAAAAAGAATTCACATCTAACTATGCTATGAATGGATTTAATAATTCATACACTATATCAAAGCTTGTTACTGTCTAAAATTCTGATTTTTAAAAATAATTATTTAATTTTATTCATTATTATTATTTTCTAATTTGACCAGAGAGAAAGAGAGAATGGTAAAGTGAGAAAGCAAGCCACCAGGTCCAGGACTTGAACTATGGTTGGCCATGTGGAAGTCTAGCGCCTTACCACCACACCATCTGCTGGCGCCTAAGATTCAGATTTAATAATTTAAATAGAGTAATACTTAATTAGAACAGATGGGAAAAACTGCACTATAATTTTCAGAATCCAAACGGGGGGAGAAAACACATTAACTCAACAAACACACACTGCCCACCTGCTGTGGGCAAGCACATTTTAAGGCACACTTAGTGCTGCCAAGATTCAGGGTAAACGCAATGTGCTGCAAGGTGGGCTCTCATGGGAGGGTTCCAGGTTTGCATTCAGAGACCTCCCTGAGCACGCCGGGTATACAGTGCCCATGCTCCAGGGTGGGCTGCAGCTGGGGCTGGATTACAGTGTCAGAACCCTCTTGGGGGTGCTGTATCTCTGTCTTGTCTGTCTCTTTCTCTCTCACTCACAGAAGAAATAAGTATATAAGCTTTAAAAAAAAATAAAAGATAAACCTGAAAAATTATTTTAAAAGTTAATAAATGCACAGTGTTAACGTAGTAGCGAACAAAAACATAAGTCCCCAATATTACTATCCTACCCTCAAGGGACTTATCACCTAATAGAGAAGCAAGGATCAATAAGCACATAAATACCTATATTTAAAACAGGGCTCATAACGTGGTCAGTGCAAAGCAGTTGATCCCACATGGCGGAGCATGTGCGGCCCCAGACTCAGCAGCTTGATAGCATGCTAGGCATTTGTGTGTGCATTCCCAAAAGCCCAAGACGAGGAAGGAGAAAGGACTGTGATGTGGCCATCCTCCTAGGGAAGCTTTCTCACTTTTTTCTGTCTGATGAGTGCACCAGCTCTCTAGCAAAAAAATATTTTAAATAAATAAAAAGCAGCAGCATAAAATGCTACAGAAGTTCAGAGTGAGGAAAAACTTTTCTTTAATGTACTTTTTATAATTATGTATTAATTTAATTTTATTATTATTTACTTTTTAATTTGACCAGAGAGACCATGAGAGAAAAAGAAAGTGAGAAGCAAGCCTCCAGGTCCAGGACTCAAATCATCGTTGGCCATGTGGCAGTCCAGAACCATAACCACCATGCCACCTGCCCGCCCCCAGAGTGAGGAGGAATGTCTAGCCAAGGGAATTAGCATATGTGCTGCTGAAGCGAGCACTCTAAGGGAATTAGACAATGCCAGGATTTTGAGATTTGGTGATGCAGATAATATTGGAAGACACATTCAAAGATAAACAGGTTTAGGTAAGAAAAAAAAAAAAAGCACACTTTAGTACTATAAAAGGAATCTTTAAAAATTAAACAGGGCCCCAAATGGTACAACAGCAGGAGAATGGGGGCAAGACACCCCCATCAGGAGGCCATCATTTCATGCCCACGGTTTTCCTGGTGCACACACGATACATGCACAGGTGCGCCTGTGATCCAGGGGCCTGAGGCTGGGGGTGAATCGCAGCATAAAGACCGGTTGTGGTGTTGGTTCTCTCCCTCAAAGAAGAGATAAACAAATAAACTTTTAAAAAAGAAGAGATAAGGGAATCAGCAGTTAGCGTAATGGCTATGTCGCTGGATTCCCACGTAGTCAACCGCGGTTCGCGTCCCGGACCCGGTGGCTTAAAACTCACGCTGGGCGCGTGTGTGTGCATGCCCAAGATCCCGAGAGGAGAATGGAGGAGAAGGGATTGCGGCATGACCATCCCCTCTGGGGGGTGATTTCTCGCTTTCTGTCTCTCTGTCTCTGTCTGTCTGGTGAGCACACGCGCCCTATAGCAAAAACCTCTCCAAAAAAAAAAAAAGAGAGATAAATGAACTTTAAAAAAATGTAAACTAGAGTTATAAAAGGATAGAAAGATAATGCTTACCTGATGAGGTTGGTGGAATAAAGGCAGATTTTTAATAAAGCATATGTGAGGTGTCTAGTCCTGTGCGTCTCTCTCACACTCAATAATCAATTCATACTGATATAAAAATACAGGCAAATATATTAAGAATAGGGGAGACCTAAGTACCCTTGAGAAACAAAAGAATGGATCCACCATAGAAGATAAAAAATACTAAAATATCTTCTAAACAAAATCAGGAGCAGATTTTTTTTTAAAAGATAGGATCAAAAACATAAGCAAATGGTGCTGACTTTAAGAAGCATGCGGGTAACTCTTTATTTACTAGAAATGAAGCAAGTTTGATCCTGAGAAATTCCGTGATTAACAGAATAAACAATAAAGAAGTTCACTCTGGACAGTCTTGGAATTTCCAGCATGAGAAGCACGAGCGAGGTGACCTGCAGAAGAGGGCGCACAAGCACAGTGCCAGTGGCACAGGGAGTAAGGAGTCTGAGGACAGAGCAGAAAGGAGGGGCCCACGGGGGGCTGGAAGCTTGAGAAGAATGAAAACCACTCACTGATTCCCTGGTATCTTCCTCTCTGAGATAAAATCAGAGATGGAAAAAGCAACACGGTAATGAAAACCATTATGCAACATCTTTATTTTTTGGAAAGTGCCAAAATTCTCCTCACTAATGACAACCTTAAACACAGTAATATAGCTTTGTGTTTTTGATTTTACAAGATTTGAAGTTTGTTTCACCCAGGCATATTTAATAAACTACAGGCAAAACTACTTTTAACTGCTAAAAGTTTTTATCAATGTAAAGAGAGACAAGTACATAATGAAGCTGTTAATCAAATGTCAACTGACAAAAAAAAAAAACATTTATTTGACTGTTACAGTTTGTTTTAGCTGTTAGGTTTTTTAAGCTTCTTTTTCAAGCTAGTTATGATATTCTGTCATTAACTCATGAAATTCACATTTTAAACTGTTTTAAAGGTATGATTCTTATTTGAGTCATAGCCTTTGTTTCACTCCCTGCTAAAACAACAAACAAATAATGCAACTATTTCAACAGCAGTGTCACCTCACCTGGTGCTATTAACTGGTGAATGCTTGATGTCCGGGTGACAGCCGTGCTTCGGGATTCCAGACTCGGGCTTTCTCCTTTCTTACTACTTTCTGGAGAAGGATCTCGCTGGCTGATTTTTGAACTGGTCACTGTTGTTTTGTTGTGACAAATTGTCAATGACTGAGTCTGACTACTGCTTTTTGGTGGACCATTCTGTGAGCTAGATAACACACCCAACTTCTGGCTGCGTAATGTTAAATTCTGAACCTAAGAACCACAAAATAAAAAGTAAGAATCAAAATAGGTGGTTTTACCTGAAGTGGTAATCCTTACCACTGTAACAACAACAACACATTTATGTTATGTTTTCCATGTGTAAAGTTCCAAACAACCGATTAGTCCTAAAGGAAAGGAATTATCTAACTAATCAAATCTTAAATGTTAAGTGGCAATTTTTTTAAAAAGACACTAAAGGGAAGGAAGGAAGGAAGGAAGGAAGGAAGGAAGGAAAAGAAGTAAGGGAAGAAGAGAAAGGATGGGGATAGGGAAAAGGAGGGAGGGGAAGGAGGAGGAACAGATTATGAAAACTAAATGAAGACAGAATGTGAAAAAATATTTATAGCAAATGAACTGTGACTATGAGGAAATTACTCTGCAGCATATTAAATTTAAAAATTACCAGATCTAGGGACCAGCAGATGGAGTAATGGTTAGGTCGCTGGATTCTCATGCAATTGACAGCAGTTCGAGCTCTGGACCCAGTGACTTAAAACACATCAGGCACATGTGCGAGGGTGCCCAAAATCCCCAGAAGAGAATGGAGGAAGGGACTGTAGCCATCCCCTCCACCCCCAGGGAGTGATTTCTGGCTTTCTGTCTCTGTCTGCCTCTTCAGCAAGCATATGCGTCCTATAGCAAAAATCTCTCAAAAAAAAAAAAAAAACCAAAAAAAACAAACAAAAAACCAGATCTATCAATAAAAGTTACAAGAAGGCACTAATCTTGGCAGTTAGGAATTAATTCATCCAGTCACCTACCATTGTGATATAGGCTGAGTATCCATTATCTAAAATACTTGCAACCAAAAAGGTTTTGAATATCAGGGTTTTATTGGTTTGGGGGATATTATCATGACACATTCTTAAGAGGTGAAACCAAAGTCTAAACATGAAATTCATTTTTTTGTTTGTTTAGGGATTATTTATTTACTTATTTTAATTTGACCAGAGAGGGACACAGCCAGAGAGAGCAAGAGAAAGTGAAAGAGCAATCCTCCAGGTCCAGTACTCGAACTGCAGACAGCCATGTGAAAGTCCAGTGCCCTTAACCACCACACCACCTGCTAGCCCCATCATTTATGCTTTTAATACATCTTTCACAAATAGCCTGAAGCTTGGGAGATCTGTAACATTATTTTAATTGCCAGAGAGTGTGTGCACTCACCAGAGAGAGAGAAAGCAATGCCCAGTGGGGATCATGCTGCAATCCTTTTTCCTGCATTTCTCCATCCTGGCAGGGTTTGGAGCATGCACATGCATGTGTGTGCAATGCACACACACGTGCACATACATGTAAACATGCCTGGCAGGTTGTTCAAGCCACTGAGGCCAGTGCTAGAACAATGGTCAGTCAGTAGGATCTGAAAACATCTCTCCAAAAGCTCTGAACTTGCTGCCTGTCTGGAATGACTACCAAACCCATTTATGCTAGCAGTTACGTGAGCTGGGAGAGAAACTGAAAGTAAGAGATTCCAAATGACAATGCAAATGAGATACTGCTGCTTTATAAATGTTATGCAGTCTCACAAGTGCTCTGTCTCCAATTATACCCTGAGCTGATACTCAAAGTCTGCTTCCTCTGTTCCAGTGTCAAACACGGTGTTCAGCCAAGAGTAGGCACTAAATGGATGTCTCCTCTGGCTGGCTGAGGTTTTCATCAATTCTATTCTAAACTACTGAAGCCATCTCTGATCATGGACTAATAACCACTGTGTTATTTAAGTTTAATTCAAAATTAAGATAGCCTGAAATCCTGTTTCTTAGTTTGTCACCTAAAACCTTCCACAATCTACACCCAAGCCACTATGGGCCCCCGTTTCTCCTTCAGCCCACAATTCTCACACGGTCACCAAACTGCTCTGCTCGCCATCCTCCAAACTGGCACTTCCTCTGGAGGCCCCGCCCAGGCTCCTCCAGCCTCAATGCCAGGCTTCCTCAAGGCCCTCTCCCGAATCCCAGCCCATTCTGTCACACCCAGTAAAATACCACTTGCCTTCCCCAAGAAACATCCCAAAGTCCCTGGTTAGAAAATAATTATTCCCTGTCCTCTGGGACAATTTCCCCATCGAATCTGGGTTATATTGGCCTAGAGTACCGACGAATGTAGATTGTTTTCATATTACTAATACATGTGTCTGTGAAATATCAAGAATGCTGGTAGGCTCTCACATCTAATATTCATTATTTTACTCCTCACGGTATATGCTAGGAATATAATAGGAATTCCACATGTCTGAGGTATTCTTCTATATCTGATTTAAAAATATATATTACATAGGATTTGGGGAGCATAGTTACATAGTTCTATTTATGGTTTTCATAGGCTAATACTAATCTCTACCAAAAACTCATGACAAATATCTGGTGAAGGTATATTAAAACTGCCCAAGCAGCAAGAGAAGGACAATATGGAATTTAGCATTCATCACAAGTGATCTGTACCGTAAACTACTTAATAACCAAAGGATGATAAAAATCTGAAGAACTTGAGGGCATCCCCTCAAATAAGAATCATATTCAGTAAAAAGAATGTGACACAATGAACCCTAAACTCTGCAGCACATCCGTTTCTTTTTAGAGTTATTCTATTCCATTTTATTTATTCATTCATTTACTTTTCATTTGACCAAAGAGAGAGACACAGAGAGAGTGAGAGGGAAAGTGACAAAGCAAGCCACCAAGTCCAGGACTCGAACCATGGTCGACCATGTCCAATGACTTAACCACCATGCCACCTGCTGGTCCCAAGAAATTAAACCTCGTTTCTTTATACTTTTTTTCCTTCTAATTTTCCTTTTGTTCCTGCAATTCTTAAAAAAAAAAAAAATGCACATCTATATTTATATATAATATTGTTACATACTACATACTATAAATTTTAGAATATGACTATAATATTCTAAGTTATCTTGGCTTAAATACTGACACAGTTTAAATAAATTCCAAACATGTAAACCATGTAAACCATACTGTTAAAGTATATTACAAAGTGGGCCAGCAGGTGGTGTGGTGGTTTAGGCACTGGATTCCACATGGCAGAATCTGTAGTTGGAAATTCAGACTCGGCAGCTTGAAAAACATACCAGAAGACATGCCAGACATGTGTGCATGCATGCCCAAAGTGGTTAAAAAAAAAGTGTATTATTATATTAATTTAGCTACTAGTAAAAAGACCACACGCTCACATTCCCTTACCAGAGCTTCGTTTTTGAGAGAAAACCCACTCTTTCAAAAATAAAGAATATTGGTGGGCTGGCCCCATACCCTAGTGCATAAGGGAGTCAAATTCTACATGGGCAACCACAGTTCAAATCCTGGTCCCTAATGCTAAAAAAAAGTCATCCTGGGCACGTGTGTGTGCATGCTAAAATCACAACAGTGTAAGAAATGTAGAATAGATTACAGCATGGCCATGCCCCTATGGGGAGTGTTCTCCCTCTCCCTCCCTCCCTCCCTCCTTCTCTCTCTCTCTCTCTCTCTCTCTCTCTCTCTCTGGCATATGCATGCATCCTCTGGCAATTAAAAAAAGAAGGTTATTAGTGCAATTTAATGTCCAACTTTCATTTCATCTAAACCTTTCCTATGACTAAATTATGGAAACTCTTTGACTTTTTTTTTTTTTTTTTTTTGAGAGATTTTTGCTATAGGGTGCATGCGCTCGCCAGACAGACAGAGACAGAGAGACAAAAAGCGAGAAATCATCCCCCAGGGGGGGATGGTCACGCCACAATCCCTTCTCCTCTGTTCTCCTCTCGGAATCTTGGGCACGCACGCACACGGCGTGAGTTTTAAGCCACCGGGTCCGGGACGTGAACCGCGGTCGACTACATGGGAGTCCAGTGACATAGCCATTACACTACCTGCTGGTTCCCAGAAACTCTTTGACTTTTGAAGTCTAATAATGCATGAGATATTTTAGCTAATTTCACAATTCTATAGTAGGTCTGCTCTGCTGAAATACAAAGTACTGTAAAAATTATCATAGCATCACTCTTTTTTTTTACAGATGAGAAATGAAGAGAAAGTATCACTTGCTGGCAGCAGAACTGAGTTCCCAGCTTTTAAATCCAAAAAGCTCTTCTCTCCTTATTCTAATAGTATCCTCCAGATAGCTTTGGTAAGTAAGATTCCTTACTCCTCTATAAACACACTTTTCGCCCCGTGATATATTTCTGAAAATCTTTTTCTTCTGTGATTAAGAAAAAAGATAATTTAAAACAGTAAATAAGGGGGGCCTGGCAGGTGGCATGGTGGTTAAAGGCGCTGGATTCCCATATGGCCGACTGTGGTTTGAGTCCCGAACCTAGCAGCTTACTTTCTCACTCCCCTGCGCCCCCAGCCCCCCAGTCTCTCTCTGGTTGAATTTTTTAAAAATTAAAAATGGAATTAAATAAATAAATATTTTTAAAGAATAAATAAGGGTAAGATATTTAACAGTATGCAGTAACATTTAATACTAAGAAAAAGTTGTTATATTCATTTTTATAGCTCAAAGAGCACCGAAATAAAGCTGTTAATTTGCTATTTCTCAATTATAAATGAATTATTATTATTATTATTATTATTTTGGAGAGGTTTTTTTGCTATAGGGCACATGCACTCACCAGAAAGGCAAAAGAGAGACAGAGAGACAAAAAGCAAGAATCACCCCCAGAGGGGATGGCCACACCACAATCCCTTTTCCATTCTCCTCTTGGGATCTTGGGCACGCACACACACACGCCTGGCCCGAGTTTAAGCCACTAGGTCTTGGACTCGAACTACAGTCAACTACATGGGAGTCCTGCAACATTGTCACTACGCCAAATGCTAGTCCCTAAATGGAATTATTTTTTTACAAAACTGTAAACACATGGTCAGCCCCTGGCATAGTGATTAAGGCAGCTGGATCCCACATGACTAACTACACAGTTCAAGTCCCAGACTCAGTGGCATGAAAAACATGCCAGGTACATATGCCTACCCAAAATCCTGAGAGAGAAAGGAGAA